AGCTAAGCTACCTGGCTGCTGGCTGTAGCCTTATATTTAACATATGAAAGTGGTATTGATCCCTTCATCTAACTCTCCATGAGAAAGCAACCTATTTCACAAATTGTTGAACTGTTTCTTAATGTAGAAATGAAACAGATATAAGATATAAGGCTTGTGATCCACGAAATTCAGTATTTCCGAGGTTTAAAGCTGATAAAGTGATTATATTGTCTTGTGTGGGTTGTCTTTTGGAATATGGATTTTCTTTAATAAGAACTGAAAGTGCGGTGCAGAAAATTAATAGAATAAACAACTCCTTTCTTTCAAGAGATGTACAGTAGATTATAATGCTTATTATAGCAAGAGAATATTGTTTTGGCGCATGTTTCTCTGATTTAATTCTTCAATGTATTTTATATTTTATAGTCATAATAAATGATAAATTATTGTATGTCATTTATTTGAAGAGATGCTGCTTAAAGAAAACTACAAGATTAAAAAGGATAGATTTTTCTGTGTTAGTGATCAGGAATCAGAGGTCAGTGCTTTTCCACTGCCATACATCACACACATAAATAAATACACAGAACAAACATCTGCCACAAAAATGTTTGCATGCTAAAATAGATTCCTTTTTAATTATATGACAAGATATTTTACTTTGAACATTTCTCATATAGCCCTGAAGCAATTACTGTCACTGAAGGTGTGTGAAATTTGTGTAAAAACACTAAAGCTGACTGTTAATTAATTCTGCCTTTGAAATGGCATTAAAACTCCCCTGAAAATATAAACCCCTAATTGCCATAGTAAACTCTTACAGGGATGGTGAGGAGGATATCAACCGGGCCGAGCAAAACAACTTTGCTGTAACAGGTTCATTTGAAAGCTTTCATCCATTAACGTTATTTTTTTTTTCATTTCTTCCCCTCTGCCACGGGGCGAGGAAGCGGGCCAGTGGAGGGAAGGCGGATGGTACAGAGCGCTTTTAAATTTCACTTTCCTCAACAATCCCAGCCTTTTTCTTCCCCTTTTTTTCTCTTAACTCGACTGCTCCTTTCCTTTCCATCTATTTCTCCTGTCTCCCTTTCTCCATCTGTCCCTTTATTCTGCAGCCAATCCTTTTAAGGCTTCCATTAGAGGTTCAAATCAACTGATGTTCCTCTGATGCCAGCGCCTGTTGGAACTTCTTTCAGGGCATCTATTGATCTTCTGGCCGGTACCCTCTCTCTCTCTCTCTCTCTCTACATCTCTCTATCTTAGCAAACAGGACCACAGGGAGTTTTTCTGTCCCTGCTGGTTTGACCCTTTATTGAGGCTGGCACATCTCTGGCCCTTGACCAGCACTGTCACCTGTTACCGACCGAGTGCCACCGCTTTCCATTTAGATTCTAAACACATCCATCTCTTCTTTTCTCTTTGTATCGGAGAAGTGCTGCCAACTTCTTAGTGGGGCATGTCATAGGCCTGTAACCCTGAAAATGTATATACAAGGCATTTTATTCCCTTTTAACAACCCCACATAGAGTTAGCAATTTAAGCTATCTTCCCCTTTACACAGTCAACATTTGCCAGAACCTCTCATCTCTGTTATGTTTGTATTCCACTTGGGAAGTGAAATCAAGCAAGTTAGGCAAAGGTAAAGTGGAGGTTCTACTGGTGAAACACGAGTTGACCTTTATTTGGAAGTAAGCCAGTCACAGGAAGTGCAAAGTGTCAGTGAAGTACAATGCTCTGTAATCAGGATCTCAATATTAATCAAAATAATCGTGATTATCATTTTGGCCATTATCGTGCAGCCCTAGTTAATTGCGATGGAAAATGACAAATTCTGTTACCCAAGAACTCAATTTGTTACCCTGCGATTTTGAATTACAACATGGAGTAACGTAGTGAGGGCTCAGAATACAGCTGGGATTAATGACATGTTTACATCTCTGAGATAAGAAGGCTCCAAGTTGTAGATGCAAAATGGCTGCAAGTTCTCTAAATACGTACCACAGCAAAAGTAGCCAAATTAGGTGATTTAAATTACGTGACTACGAAGATAGTAGTAGGGTAACCATCATCATCATCAACATCATCACCCCACAGCTGGTTCTGCCTGGGTGGCTGCTAGAAGTAACAATTTTCAGTGCCCATCCACGTGGATATTGCACCAAATAAATAAAAGTTCAAATACTTTCATCATCAGTCTGAACCAAAAATTCATTCCCCCAGTAAACGCTGAGGGAACTGCTGTCAATGAGAAAAGATTATTGAAATTAGAATTCTTCATGGTGGTAATCACAGTTTTGTACACAAGACAAAACAAATGCCAATGATCTTCATACTGAATACTCAGAGAAAGGAATATTAATTTCAATTTAAAGTATTTGACCCTTGACCCTCCCCCTTTGATTTACCCATCTGTTTATGAAACCTCACTCAATTTGACTTTTCTTCCAAATAATTCATATTTTGCTTTTTTATCTCAACCTTTTCCTTAGATTTTTTTCACCCTTGTCTTCTCCCTCTTTCATTCATTTATTTATTCCTCCTTCACCGTTGTATTCGCTCCCCTCTGCTGCTTCACAGCTTTCTCTCCCCTCCAATCTCTCCCTTTCTTTTGATTGACCACCATTTCAATGGCAGTGGCCAAGGTTATTTGGCAGCCGCCACAGAGCACATTTGTTTTTCCCTCTCTGCAACTGAAGAAGACACTCTGCTATTCTAATGGACTCCAGAAGAGAGAGTCCTTTGAATTGGTTTAAAAAGAAGGCCAGCAGAGTCCCTCTTTCTCTCTTTCCTCTCTCCTTCTCTGCTTTTGTAGAAGCTGACAAAGGAGTCTCTCTGTGTTTGCCATGGGACCAGATGTACCCAGGCAGCAGACAGGATGCTAACCCCTGGAAGCCCTTATGTTCCTCCTGCTATAGGACATTAAAGCTACACTCGGCAGCTTTGCATATTGGCAGCTCCAAATGGCAGCGAGAGGTGACTAAATCCTGATCCTCAGTAAACACAGGGCTTGTAAGGTGATGTCACTAAACAATACTTCACTAGGTCACGCTTTCCAACAAGGTCGGGCTATGATACTTTACAATAAAGAAACCAAACAGATGAAAGAAGCAAAAGATTTGGTGAGTCCTCAAAAACTAAATAACAAAACAGGCCACTAGAGGTTCCTTGTCAGGTAGGCAACTAATGCTGTCATTGTATTGTGAGGATAGAACAACTTACTTTCTTTCCACAACTCACACACTACTGTATGTGGAAAAATGTCCATAAATACAGTTCATTGTCCTATGTTCCCCATCAAATGACAAAATGTGCTGTTTCGCCATGCCTTCTAAAACAATACACTAGAGCTTTTTTTCTGATCTGGCGCCCCCTATCAGCAGGGCACCATCAGCTGAGTCTTCCAAATTACAAATCACTGTTTTAAATCTGTTTCATGACGTGATGACACGATGCTTAAGTTTTTGGTTTGCTTTAGGCACAAAAAAAACACGTGATTAGGTCTAGGGAAAGATTCTGGTCTGGATTCAAATAAGTGCTTTGTTAAGGGTTAGGTGACCTTTGTTGTCGTGGTTACAATAATAAACATGTGGTTAAGGTTAGATAACGATTGTGGTCATGCTTTGAGTCTGATGTTTTGTTGACCCATCCATCCACCCTGACCGCCTCCATATGCGGACTCTGTTGTTCTATAACGTCACTCGAGTCCCTCCGTTACTCCATTCATAATTACGGTCAATAGAGGGCTTTGTCACTTGAACGTATACATATGTTGAATGCAAACAAACAATGGCATCCAAAATGGTGAGAATGATAGTGGTTGTTCAGAAAACCCTGCTCTGTTCTCCAATAACAACTGAGCAAGCCTCTGTCAGAGCCTCAGTCAACTTCCTCCTTTCCTGTACGTAGATATGCTACGTGCTATGCTAATTTATGTTGAAAAGACAACCACATTTTGAAGATGGTAAACAACATAAAGGGTATAGTCATAGCTTAAATTAGCGAATGTTAGCAAAACACTAGCCAAATAGCCATCTGCTAACCTTAGCTATCAGATGTAATTAGTATGCTTGATGTAGATTAGCTAACTTGTTAGCTAGTGTTTTGCTAACAATAGCAATACAAATCAATAGCCTACAAATCTTGTTTTACAGATGTAAGAAAACGTGTTTCTTTGGCACTACAGACTCCAACCCCGAGCCTAGCACATAGCATTTCTAAGTACAGGAAATGAGAAAGTTGACCGAAGTTCAATGGGGCTTAGGAAGGGTTAATTGTTGGCCCCGCCCATTTTCTTTCCAAACACCCTACATCTGTGGAGTTGGGCTATTATCGGGTGTCTTGCTTCATCTCCAGGCATCATGGACCTGAGACTCACAATGGAAGAAATGCATACATTCTAATTAGTACTTTGATAAATGTTCCCTCCCTTCATAATTCTACATTGTTTTCAAAGCATAAAACAATTCATACAACCTTCTCAAAGCACATAATGAGCGCTAATTGCTAAATGAGTCATGCAGAGATAAAAGACATGGAATAATCCCACTTTTTAAGGCATCATCATTTGTCCCATTAAGAATCACTTTCTTCTTCACTTCTCACATGCAGTATAATCCAGCTCAGTATTAAAGGCTTGTCTCCTGCCAGCGGCTCACTGTACAACCCTGTATCCCCGCTGCTTGACGCACACAATAGAAAACAATGGAGAGTTGGATTGAAGTCATGCAGGGGTCAGCGGCTCCCTCGTGAGAGGAGTGTGAATGTTGTCTCCGACGTGCTGCCTTTCTGGCCAACAGGGGAGCAGAAAATGATGATGGGTATGTATGTAATAGAGATACGGCAGCACTGAGACACCGCTGTGGAATTTCTTCTCTAATTACTGAATTTGTTGACGGTGTTGAATTTGAGCTTTTCTCTGAACAACAATCTACAAATGTAATGGTTATTTTGTTTGTGTGTGTTATGTTCTTTTAGGCATTTGTAAGTGGAGTTATTCAAAAGGCAGTTCACAAAGGAAATATTTTCACCTTACCTTTATTTATCCAGGAACACATTGCTGGGAGCAATTCCCTTTTCATTTCATTTGTTGGTTTGATGTCTGACTTTTAGCTATATACTATGTATATATTTTCTCTTGAATACATTTGTTTTTTTTTGGATGTTTTTATTCAAAAATATTTCTTTGGTTTCTACTGTGTTTTCTGCTCAGTGCTCTCATACTATTTTTCACAATTGCTAAAATGCCAAACCCCATCCTCTGAATCAAATGCTCAGTGCCCTAAACCCATTTATCAAATCATTCATTCTTTTGGCAAAACTCTAAACACATTTTCACCCGCTTAAACACATTTTGCACTGTGGTGCACTTGTGTTGCAAAATGGTAAACACGGGCGGCAGAAGCTGAACACAACAACAACAACAACAACACAGTTGTCATCGTTTACACACAATGGCTCAAAATTGCTCACACTTGTTTTTAATGATGTGATTAAGCCAGCTGACTAGAATAAAATCTGGATACGCGAGCGGTTCGACATCAAGCAGCAATTCAAAAACACTGTCCCCTCCTCAACCCAAAATAAGTTTTTCTCTGCATGTCGGTGGAAGGTCTTTGACTGAACCCCCCATGCCAGGGTAAATCTCTTGCAGGCAATGGACCCGGCCTGTGGTGACATAGGTGTGGAGTCTTGTCAAGGCTGGATCTGGAGGGTTTTTCCTTGTTGCCTGGCAAGGGAGAAGATTGCGAGTGATGTAGACAAGTCCTCTGGCCTGATCCAGCACAGACATGATGCTGAGGCAGAATGAATCTCTCGTCTGTATTACAGTACTGTATTATATGTAGTATTTACAGTTTAACAATATACTCTGTATTAAGTTTTGCATATACATTTTTTTGAAAATGAAAAATGCATTTATTAGACACAATAACAACAACAAAGACTCCCTCAATTCGGTGTTTACTGTTTTTTTTTATGTAGTGTGTAATGACTGCTCAGTAGTGTTTATGTACTGTGTGCTTTGGATCACAGATAAAATGGTTTTGAGACAATTGTTTGATTTAGTCAGAAGTGTTGTGAATGTAGTTTGATGATTTGGTTTTGTGTTTGTAGTTCTGAGAAAAGGGTGGAAGGTTTCAAGAAAAGCATCCTTTATGTAAAACTGTAATGCTCCACCAGGTGCTGGCAACCTGGACTGTACCAAGTGGTCCTGTATGGAGGGAGAGGAAGCAAAGGGCTCATTGTTTGTATTTTGTTTGTATCTTTCAGTACTGGTAACATTAACTATAGCTAAACATGATGTTTTCTTCACTGAAAGAAGAGCAAAGAACGACACTGAAGGCTTCGGTAAGAATTTGACTACGTTGTAAGGTTGGTTGATCTGATGGGTTAAAGTTTGTCTGTGATAGACAAATGGTTCACCCAATCACCTGCTGAGTATTTTTTGAAAGTGCCAGCCCTTTCCTAAACACTTTCTAATTTTGTAACAAAGCATCAGGCACAGTCAGGTTAATTAGATCACACAGACAAACAGTCTTCTTGTACTTTCCCCACCTACTACTGTCCTGCTGGACCGGGGATTGATCCTGCAACCTTCTCGTCACGATTGTGTCATGATTTCTATTAAAGATAAATAAATAAAATTCCGTTCCTGTGTGGATATATTAAGGACAGGTGTTTTAAACATGGGTGTTTCTATGTGGATGTCACTAGGTTCATGGAGTGCATATTACTGGCCCTTTTTAGAGTTTGAATATGGGAAGTATTAAATACTGTACTTTTTACATTCATGTCTCAGTTGTAAAACATTACATCACTAGTTTCACAAGTTAATGTGTTTATCAAGGTGACATCATCACTCAGAGTACGGGCGGGAAGGGGGGAGTTAGGGTCCTGCCTGTGTCTCCTGTTGCTCTTTTCCCCATGCTTTCTTCTCTTGCATCCAACAACAAGCTCATTAAACTGCAAGCAAACTGACATTTCACCCCAACTTCTCCCTCTCTCTCTTGTTTCACATCATTAAGTGGCACTGTCAGGCTCAAAGGTAGCCGGGCAAACTCTTTGAGAGAAATGGCTCGCCTGGCAAGCGGGCGTTTTGATGAGCTTGTCACTCCCTCACCCCAAACATGCCTCATTAGTAGTTCAGTCGAAACACCTATCTGCAACCCCCCCTCCTCCCTTCCATTGCGCGCACACAGACACACACACACACAAACAGTTTCTTTCTCTTTCTGTCTCTCCCTCCATCTCCCATCTCCCTCTCTGGCCCCCCTCCTGTTTTCCAGCACTAATTAGCTGGCTTCTCCCTCTTCTGTGCTTCCCCAGTCACATCTCAAAGGGAGACGGATATGATTTTTCTTTAACCCAAAGGCCAACTTAATCAGCTGAATTAATGACTTTATTACCCGTTAGGCTCCGGGCCATGCAACACATTTCTCTCCAATGCCCAACGCTCCTCTCGCTATCTCTCTCCCACTCCTTCTTTTACCCCCTGCAGGAATTTTTACATTTCAAAAATAGAAATAGACAAGAGAAAGGGAGGCGCGGAGACCAGGCTATGGGTGGCAGGAAGATATTACGCGAAATATCATAATTGAACAGAAATGGACAGGTACACCCTAAAGACTACTTTATTAGTTTAATAAGCTTCAAGTCATTTATGTAAGCAGTGTCTGTGTGGGTGTCTCTTGAAAAAAGTATACATAATCAAACTGTCGTTTAAAAAAAATGATAACCATATCTAGAGGTAAAACAAGGATTCTGTTTACAGTGTACAGTGTTCTGTGTACAGTTTTTGTCACATCGGTAACATCCATTCTGTCAATTAAATATGTTTAATCAATTAGCAAGTGTATCTGTCAAAGATGGCAAATGACACACACACACACACACACACACACACACACACACACACACACACACACACAACTCTAACTGCGGAGCTCAACGTCTAAACACTCCTTTTTTAATGGCTAAAATACGGTAATTAGTTTATACATCAGTGTCTGTCAGTAGATATATTACCACAATTGAAAAACACCACTGATAAGGAGATGCGCCATTAGTCTTCTCATTTACTTGACAAACTCTAACAGAGCCCAAGGCCTATACATTGAATTAGGTTCATCTAGTGACAACAAAATAATGAGGTGGCTCTGCGACTAGGAGACCGGCCTTTAAAACTCACTTCTTATTGCTGCGACCAGAGGAAACAGTCTGATACAGTGTGAGTAAAAGGTTGTGCAGTGATGCTACATGTACTGTATATGTGACGTTTCAGTGTGGTTTGGCCTATGCATTATGTCCTTCCTTTGATTTTTATATATATATATATACACACACACACAAAGTATATAGATATGTATAATATAGATAATATCTTTCGCAGAATTTCCTAGCAAAGGGGAAGGATTCAGCTAAAGCACGGTGTCAGCCACCTTGGGGGATTTTACATTAAACAGCAGGGCTAAATGCTAAAATCAACATGCTTACAGTGAGAACACTAACATGTTAATGTTCAGCAGGTGTAAGGTTTACCATGTTCACCTTCTCAGTTTAGCATGTTGGCATGCTTCAGCTGCATTAAACAGAAACTACAGCTGAGGCTGATGGGAGGTATTTGGTCATAAAACCATAACAAAACACCCAGATAATACGAATATATCTCCAGAAAATGTCAAAGGAAATGAAACTGTAACGCTTTATTTACATGCCTTTAATCATTTCCTTTGTAATATGTACTAATTGTAGGTAAAATAGAGATATAGATAAATATAGATTTTTCAAAATTAGTTTTCCTGATTTTGTAATCCATTTGTCAGAGTTAATTCTAAATGTCTTGACCTCCTGACTACATCCCTGATCAGAAGTATTCTGTCATTTAAAAAAGGCTGTAACTCTTGTGCACATCCCTCTCCTTTTATACCTATTTTCTCACACATGCATCTGTAGTGGGTATTTGAGTAATGAATAATAATAATTTTATATTCCTCAAAACTCAGCGATGCTGTATGTGCTTTACTCTGCACAATCTCTGCACATTTCTCAATATACTCAATGTTTACGGTGTTGAACGTTTGTTCTGAAAATGTGCCAACTGGCCTTGGCATTGTCACCTTACAGCAATGCTTTAAAACTTGCTGGTAGCTATTGGCCGTCCTTGCAAAGTGCAGGTCATACATACTGTATACTCACTGTATAAACTCATTGACATTGCATATACTGTACTGCAGCTGCATGTTGTCATGAAAATAAAATATGACTTAGATTACACCCATTTTACCTTTTCTACAAATTAGAACAAAATTATATTTTGTACTTATTCATACAGTCAAATGCTTGTTTTCATTAATTGCTAACCAAGTTGTGAAAACAGTGGAAGTACCAAACCAGAATCCTCGAAGGCATCCTGAATACTTGAGCTACATGAAACACACAGAAAACAGTTTCACAAAAACGTCAGTGTGATACCAGAGATATTTCTCAAATTGAGATTTTTCTAATTATTAAAAGTACTTAAGGGATAATAAACAAATTATGGTAATAAACTAAAGATGGCTGCAAACTACAATATATTTATCCCAATCAACACCATTACAACAACTGATGAAACAGTATTGACAATACTTGTGAACTGTAGGTGAATTGTCTATGAATGGAAACCCCTCATTAGCAGCTCATGCCCTCAGAGGAGGAGCATTATGATATGTGTGAAATATAGTGTATGCACAATGATTTGAGCATAATTTCCACCTGCACGTTCAGTCTACCTATATCCAGTACTAATTATCAAAATACAGACTGCAAAGCCATTTATACTGTGAAACTGATGTTTTAGTCATTTTACATATTCATTGTTTTGTTTATGGTAAAAATGTACCTCTCTTTGCACTTACATGTGACATAGGTAGAAAAGGTGACACCAACACATACCACCAACAGTTTTTACAGAAATGTTTAATTTGAAAGTCTCACCTGAATGCAAACACTGCACGTCAGCAGCAGTGTTGAGATGTTAGGTGTGAGTGAAGGTTTTGTTACACTCAGTTTTGCTATAAAAACCAGCATCCCCTCTCTCCTCTTCCTGTCTTATACAGTAGCTCCCGTCCCACAGGACCTATTAGTCAATTACACCTGAGCGCTGCTGTTTAATATGGGCTGAAAACATACCTGAGTTCCCAGCATCAAACACTTCCTTTGCTGTACATTCTTCCTGTGGTATACAGTAATGAGTAGAGCGGAGGTGTGTGCGTGTGTGTGACATTCAGAAAAAGGGAGGAATTATTCATTAGCTCTCTATTTCGCTCTTTCAGCCTCCCTCCTGATCCTCATGTTCAACAACTCTGGGGCAAATGCAGAATTGCAAATTAGCTCCCGGAAAAATCGAATTAATTGGCCATCCTCACAGGCTTCTTGTCAAAGTTTGGGCTGATGTGTCAACGACTCCCCCAGAACTCCAAGCAGCACTGCCTGTGCAATATGGCACGGAGCAGGGGAAAAAAAACAAAGGAGCAGAGCAAAGCACTCCATAAAAACAAAACTACCCTCTGTGTGTCAATTAATAGAGCTCTTCAATCAGGACAAAACTTTCCGAGTTGACTTCTCCTAACCGCACAATAACTCACTCAACCAGGCAGCTGTCACTTCGCCCTCTCTGCAATTTCACAATCAGTCAGTCGCAAATTAGAAGTCAACATTTGCCAGTGGGGTTTCAGTGGCTCTCCAGACAGAATAACGGCTTTACTTTGGCTTCTGGCTTCTTGGCTGAAAGATATCTTAAGATTTTGCAACATAAGTGAAATCAAATTTATTTTTTAGCTCTCCCTACAGTGTTTTTCCTCTTCTAGTTCTTCTCCCTCTTTTGCATTTGCTGTTTTAAACACCTCTATAGATTAAATATCCACCCACTGATCCAGAGTGCTGGAGTGGACCACACTCAGGTTATCCAATCTGTATTTAAAGATGCTCTTAAGAGCTGTACAGGTCTACTGTATTGTATCAAACAGGCCAGAGTGAAACAGAGGGCTGCAGCTGCATCCAGCGAGCCAACATTTGTCCTAACACGCCATCTAGTGCTGTTTTCATGTATTACAAATGTATTTACTGCAGTATTTTACCATGGCTTTAGCTCATTTTGACTCTTAATGCAAAGAGTCAAACTGACTTGCTAGATTCTTACCTTTAAAACACATAACACCGCCCTTAGATACACTGTGCAACACAGTAAATCACATGCTCAGTCCTCAGAATACAAACTCATATAAGCATCAATTCCAAAGCTACTGTAGTCGTATAGATCACTGAATCAATGTAAGATCAGTACTTCTCCTGATTTAACAGTATTACCCTAGTGAGTAGCATAATTGCTAATTACTTTACCACCGCCACAATATACTTTAAATATGTCGAAGTAGTGAAAAGAATAAAAACGGGAAAATGAATTATTTCCTTTTGAATACTGTCAAATATTTTATAGTTCATTATAATATACGTTCCACCATTACAGCAGCTTACTGTATTTTACATTATTACAGTAATCCTCATATTACTGTAGGTGTGTGTATTTTCAATTAGAAGTAATAGAAAAATCAAAGGTTGATGTCTTGAATAAGAACAAACTGTGTGTTAGATACAGAAAAGGAAACTGATGAACAGTCACAGTTGTCATTTCATCTTGTATAGCTGTAGGGATTGCTATAAAGGCAGACTATATTTGTAGTATTGCAGCATACTCAGTCACTAAAAGTTTTCATTACAGTTTATGAGTTTAGTTTTTTCTATTTTTTTCTAATTGCCATTTCTATAATCTTGAGGAAATGACCACTACAGACTGTCTGATGAGAGTTGGTGAGGGACAGCATTAATTGTGAGAATATCATTTTAAAATGCAGCAATGATTAAAATTCAGCAATGAACATATACATTGTTGTGATGCTTTGGTAAACCCTCTGCATGATGTTTCACATAATTTGATATGGATGTGTCTACCTTTTGTGCTTTGTGAGATTAGAGCCCAAAATATTACAAGTTTGTTTCGTTTTAATGTAAAAACTGAGCCAAAGTTATTGTAATATGCATCATGTTTTAAAAAGTTATTTAGAAATTTAAAAAAACAATTCCTATTAATATTTATGATACCAAATAAGCACATATGTAATCTACTAAAAAGATTATCTGAAAAGTACACAGTAAGATAAAAGTTTCCATTTATTTACGAAAATAGATATATAAATACAATTCTGTGTAAATATCTGTACAAATGAAGATTCTAATCAACTACAAAATAAAAGCTTGAGCATCACAGCAGACAGCCTCAAACATATCTGTGCATCTATATTTATCTCTCTATTTAGTCTCACTGCGGGTCCAGGTATTCTTATGGCAATGTATACGCAGAAATCCATAAGAACCGGGCCTGAAGTGTCCTTACGCAGATCTAAAACATTGTCCGGGGTCAACGTGCAGCATGAGCTGGTAGTTTTTGGGTACCGTGTGTCCGTTGGTCAGAGTACAGAACGGTATTTACATGCAAACATAAGCCACACTGCACATGCATTTTCGGGATAGGCAAACACCCGAACACGGACAGCAAGCCTCACGTGGTCACCACGACAACACACTATTTCCTCGCAGAACGGAGACCTGCACAGGAAGTGACAAAAGACACAGAGCATGAAATGTGAAGTACTGCAAAGTCTTTTTCTAAAATAATATATGTAGGCAATATTCTTTTTACCTAAAAGCAATGCTTGGACATTTAAAAAAACTGAGACGGCCTTATTCCTAATCCCCTGCTCACTGGCATCGGTAAAGAATCCCCCTCCCATTTTAAACTCATCCAAAACTCTGCCGACACGATTTTGGACTAAGAAACACCGATCCTGTCTTTTGAACACTGGCTACCTGTTGCTTTTAGAACAGATTTTAAATGATTATTGATCACTTACAAAAGGCCCACAGTGACACACAAAGGTGATCGAGCCTTTGCGGTTAGGGCTCCTAGACTTTGGAATGACCTGCCTGAGGAGATCAGGCCTTCAAACAACATATTACTTTTAAAAACCCACTTTTTTAAAAAGGCTTTTTGTCAATTCAATTTATGTTTTTATGGCATTTGAGTTCATTTTTACTGTCTTTGTGTTTTATAATGTGTTTAGTTTATATTGCTTTTGGCTCATTCATCTCTTTATTGTTAACAGAGGTTAGGATTTTCTACAATACACTTCAGCTGGCAGGTATTTGTTACTGTAAGCCTGAGCTATAGTGTGTACAAAAAACTTCTCATAGGCAAAGTTTAGGGATTTTTTAAACCATGCGTTCAGCATTCTGACCACTAACTCACCTGAGGCAGGTGGCAAAGGCTCTGCGAGCGTTGCGGTGCAGGAAGTGGATGGGGAAGCCCTTAAAGGTGTGTCCATCAGGCACCGCCCTCCTCACCGCGTCCTGGAACTCCTCGTTGCCGCAGGAGATGCCGGTGCAGCGCTCCAGCTCATAGGCTGACAGTGCCGAGGACAGCAGGTAGGACAGGTGGTCGTCCCACACTGTGGCCAGATCCAGGTCCTGGAGGAGAGAGCGCCACAGAGCCCGTAATTTGAATGATGGGAAACCGTGTGGAAAATGTGATGGAAATGACATTTCTGTTTTTTCTATGTGTTAATAAGGTAAGGTTAGTCTCCTCATCGCTCCACAAAAAATCTAATGTGAGAAAGTGACAACAGTCACATCATGATTTATTCATTCATTTATGTACTCATACAACCATAAAACTTCCCACTTATCACTTATGACCAAACAAGAAGCGTGTGCCGGTGTCAGTATCTCAGACACTTCCTTCTGCCTCTATTTTCTTATTGTGTGCGGAACATTTCTAGGTGTCAAGGTGACAAGGTGCAGGGTGTGAATTCAGGACGCGGAGTGGTTATATCGCTGTCTCTCTTCTCTGCTTCCTGTCTGTGTCACGGATGCATGACAAGTTGTAGGTCTGTGTGTCAGTATCAGTATGCATTCACACAAAATCCAGAAATATGGCACGTTCCAGCAGGGTTGTGCAGAGGTGGGCCATGTGTATTCGTGCTTTAGAATGTAACCACGATGACACAATCAGGAAATAACTTTCATTTCTCTGATTCACAGCTTTGTTGTCTCTAACATTGCACTCTCTCTTAATTTGTTCTCTATGTAGATCGACAGGATGGAAATGTGCTTATTTCCAGGGCTATGTGAACCATAGCTGTCACTTGTCATAAACACTTTCTTTTTCAGCACAGGTGAGTTAACCTAAAACTCCCAAACTTTAAGGGTCCGTATCTAGACCAGCACTAAGTTTTACCTTCCTGTGCTCAGAGACCAGGTAGCGCATCTCTAGCTCCAGCTGGTTGCTGGCAGCAGCAGGATCCAGAGACGGGGCACAGATTGGAGGCAGGGGGGGCAGAGAGGTGGTGGAGCCTGGGGCGCAGACAGACTTCAGAGCCTCCTCGCTCATTGCCTTCCACCGAGACTGATTCTGAAGGGAAAGACGGAGAAAAAATACAAAAAAAACAACAGCATTTAGCTGGTGATACTTTTTTCATTCCCACAGTAGAACAAAAACACTGCAGCCGCTTGGGGTTTGCTGCCTTGCTTTAGGGTTAACATGACAGGACAGGAGTTGCTGATAAATGGAACTGTTGCAGATTCAATTTCCCTACCCACAAACTGGCCACTGTCTGATGATTGAAACTGGCAACCGTCCAGTCACAAGCCTACTGCTCTCTGCTCCAGGCTACCTCCGCCCTCTGTCTGACTTAAAATCACCACTGTCCATTTGATTATATCTTCTCTGGACAATTTAATATGCAGTGGAAATTCTTTTTTTATATTGAAACTCATTTTTATCAAACAATGACCCTGACTATTACCACAGTACCTTCCAACGAAACAGTTGTGAGCAGCTTAATGACATTTCAGTGGCATCATAATGAATAAATACAACAATGTAAGTAAAATGTATTTAATCAGAGTGACAGTTCCCACCTCAGTGATAGTGGTGGGGGAAACTGTGAGGGACAACCGTCTCTTACCTGGAAGTCAAAGACACAGAGCTCCACGGCATCGGAGGGCTGGCAGTTGGCTAGGAAGGTGTGGTGGTTGAAGACACAGCCCACAGTGCGGTAGGGGGAGGAGGGTTTGGGCTGGGGGGCCAGTGGGGGGGCATCTGGGTCTATGGCCTGGTGCAGGTATCTGACCATACATAGGGGACATTGGGGCTAATCAAACACTGCAAACATTTTTTCACAATTATACTATACAAATTGAATAAATACTATTTACAGCTGCCTGAAAAATAAAGTCAGAGTTAATGAGGAATGAATAAGGATTCAAATAAAAGTACTACCATGAAGGTAAAAAGGTCCATAGGCTGGGACACAGTTGTTAAATGTAGAGAGAAATATTTTAGAGGATACAAAAGCTCCTCAAAAACCATAAAGTGCTTAGAGATCAATAGCCACCACGGCTTGCTGTATTCAAAAACATAGCTTGTATTACTGACTTACTGTGGATTGACAATGATATGAAATCAAGTCTATCTCCATTATGCGATGAGTGAGTTATGGACAAAACAATAATTGATGGACAAAATCCCAGAACTGGATAAGCGCCAAAATGTAATCAATTGTTCCCTGGCCCAGAGCCTGGCCACCAGATTTCATGGAAATGCCTTCATGGGATTCTGAGATATTCTACTGACAAACACACAAAAAAACAAAACAAAAAAACACAGCGTAGTCCAATAGCTTCAAGGGACAGTGTTTGGTTTTCTGTAGTTACGGTAAAAACTAAAAATGTTCAATATTGGAGGAGAATCTCCCCAAATATTCACATATATCCTATCTGTCCTATCCCGGTCTTCAGTGTTAAAGGTATCCAACACATAAATATTAATAATGGGCAGCATTTCCTCATATGTCCAAGCTGCTGTTGTTGAAGTTGTAGTTTGATGCCAGAGGGACAGGGGAGCAGTAAAAGCAGTTGTGTTACATAAGTTGTCTATAAATAAAAAATCATGGACCTGTGTGCTGTCAGACTCTCCCAGAAGGTGATGCTCCCATCAGTACCGCGAGTCAGGACCCAGGTGTGTGGCGTTCCCTTGGCTTTGGTGCCCACACACACATACGCATCCAGGCCAAAGCCCAGCAGGAGGCTGCACAGCAGGGTGGCGTGGTCCTCACAGTCCCCCTGGGGAGGACAGACAGGGATGAGTTCATGTCCTTTGGAGAGTTTGAAATGTGGAAAGTATATTTTTGACATCATGATCACTGTTTTGAGTTAAAATAAAAGGCCAGCATTACAGTCACTGTCAATTCATTATTGATATTATTTTAACCCGGGTGTGGCTTCTCGAGAGCTTCATTCACAGAAGATCATGAGATGTGGCTGAAAGCTCCAGCAGCCAGTTGAGCTTTGATTCTTTTCTTACATGTCATGTTCTCAAAGGTCAAGATTGCTCAAATAAGCCTCTTTGTTTTTTCTGGAGGTTGGGCGGGGTATTATAGTATTATCATCTGCAAATATCTTTATATCTTTATTCTCAAAATATTATGATTTTACTCAATATATAGGACTTTTATAACTACAAATAGTCTTAAAAATATTATGACTTTATTCCTGAAATATTACAACTCTATCTTATATTATCTATATTTTATTTGACCATATTTATTATTTTTAACAATATAAAAAACTTGTTTTGAGATTTTTCCCCTCAAGATCTGCGATTATCTTTTCCCCTAACATCAGCATGAATACTTGTCGTTTTTACGAAGGAGTATTAGTGCCAAATTCAAATTCAGTTTGGTTCCCTTCATTTCCACATTTATTGACACTCTCTCCAGGAAACTCTAATAAAATGAGAAAAAGCTGTTAAAAATATTCATAAGTTAAAAAAACAGCTAAGGTGTCGCCCTGTCTGGGACAAAGTCCTCATTTACGCTGTGACTGAATAGAGTTTAACCTTGACATATGCAAAGTCCCTATATTTAGACAGATTTGAACAGCTCTACAGCCGTCTTCACGCCATCCCTGCTGCTTGTCTTATTCATCATGTCACTACAACAGTCTGTTTAAACAGACATACAATATCCTGTTCTTACTTCACTGTTAGCCTTTACTCAGAACTGCTCAACACACACAAGGAAAGCCTGCTGGAAAGGAAATAAGCTCTGTAGTCATCAAATTGTCCATGACAGTAAGCAACTCTTATTTCACTCCTACAACTTTTCCGGTAAAGAGGCCTGGGTTGAGATGGGGGAAGCTGCTGCGTGCTGGCTCGGGCTTCGGGCAAGTCAGAATGATAGATGTTCCCCAGAAGTGCTAATATGGACGGCAGCATCGGAACAGGCTGGGGACTGATGAGGCTAAATTAATTTTCCCTGGAATGAAACTCATAAATCACAGCTGACAAGGGCCACTTTGTGAGAGTTGTGTTGTGTCTGTCTTGCCAGCCGCTCACAGAGGAGAGGCAGGGAACATTTATCCTGTGGTGGTCTGGGAAATTCCCCACTATCTAGCCGAGAGATGAAAATGCATCAGTCAGTCCACTTCTTTCTCAGAAATGACACAATCAGCTGTGCTCAGAAAAGGAGCGAATGTAAACGCAGCTGAACCGAGTTCACGTGGCGCTTTCTGACTGAACAACAGGAATTTGTGACCTTAATTCAAAACATACATTACTGTATAGTCAGAGGGGCTGGACTGAGATTATATGAGGTACAATTCAACTTTTTTAAACACAGTTCTCTTTACTTTCCATCGTATAAATTGAATGAGTTACAGAGGATTTTAAAACATGAATGACTCATCCAACTGATTTGAAACTTTTCATTTTGTGATTGTCTATGATGCTGTGTATGTGTTTTTGTTATGCTATGTTGTTTGTATGTATTTTGTTTTCAGGAAGATATAAAGGTCAGGATAGGAAATGAAATGGTCTGCACTTTGTAATTACGACCACCATCACTTTTTGTTTGAATGTAAGAATGTAAACATAATGAGTAACAAGGGAAAGAACTGGCCTTATCATAAGTAAGATATAAGTATTATTTCAACCATCCATCTTTGTTTTAAGTGATCTTGTACTTAAATTAGGTTCCTTCTTGACATACATATGGAATGTTTGTGGTACGAGTGCCATTGTTTTGTATTATGTATTTATGTAAGGCAGTTCCATCAGACTGCAGTGCAGCAATTCAGGAGCGGCTCCGAAGCGATCCAAGAATAGGTCTCGATGTTAGGTTGGAAAAATGTCACACTCAGAGGTCATGGACTTGGCCTGTGATGAGATCAGTGTAATTATCCCCAGGCTGGATTGTATTTCATCTAGGTAAGGTGTTTGTCTGAATGTTTTTGAGTTTTATGTTACAGTGTTTTCCTTTTAGACACCAGTGTGATTGTGTAAAGAGGTTAGAGAACAACCTTTGGAACGTGCATTTACTGTTTTTGTATAATCTATTCTCAAAACAGGGCTTTTGCTTGTAACAATGCATCAAAATAATTGAGAAAAACCTAATAAAATATCCAGAATTGTTTCCATTTCGATAATTACTGACTTTAAGATCCAGTGTTTTACATCCGTCATATCAACAACATACAACCTTATAAACTATGTCTTAATAACATTATTATCTACAGAAAGATTTACTCATTAGTACAGTAAGACATGTCCAAACTGTTTATAAAGTCTGACAAAGCAAAGGAAAAGTTATATTAATAATAACACAAAGACGCTGCTATTAAAGAGAGGCCGGATGGAGAGGTTGGACAACTGCCGTGCACTTACTCAAAGACATTACGTCACAAATAAGATAATAAATCACAGAAAGGAATAGCTGACACATCCTGAAATAGAAAGACACATGCCCCTTGAGAGGAACTTTTGTGTGAAAAGCTATGAATCTGCCATTGTCCCTGTCTTTGACAATAAGCACCGAGCACTACAGTAAATGCATTGTCATCTGAAAAATGACTCCATCCCCGTTGTGGCTGCCAAGAAGCTGTCCAGTTTCTCCCTTACCTTCCCTCTACACAGGAAAGCCATTAATGTGCACCACTGCTCCTGCTTGCCTCCTCCTCCTCCCACCACCGGGGCCTTCTCGAGGGCCAGCAGGCTGACGAAGCGGGCCGCCTGTCGAGGGCTCTCCAGCAGCCGGCCCGCCCGGAGGACGCGCACGTAGGAACACACCGGCCTGTTGACGCCGTTTTCATCCTGCAGGGAGCACAGAGACACACCCAGAGGAAGTGGGACAGCTCGGAGCAAGATATGAATTTGAAGGGTACAGGATTCAATAATCCCTAAACTGGTTAGGAATATGAGATGTCTTCTCCCCAGACCTCTAACTCACTAAGCCAGCGTCTGAGTTGGAAATAGCAAATTAATTAGGTCGTTCTGAGGAACACCTGTGTATATACACAACCCATTCCCTCTGCTACTCATTCCACAGGTCTATTGTTAGTAAAGAAACTGCCTGGATAAAAAGGTTTAGGAACAAATGTCTTTAAATGTAGGCAAAACTATATCATATTAAGGTTTCATTGTTTCCCCACAACATGTGGTAATTTAGACCAACCTGTGCAAAGATCTTCACCATCTTGGATTGGTGTGACGGACGTATCTCAAGGAACTCCCTCCACCACTGTTTGGCATAAACCAAGAAGAGCCTCTCCTTCTCTGCCGTCCTCTGCCTCTCCAGTGATTGCTGAGTGAGAAACACAGTGACATCAGTTGTTAAATATAGTTGCCTTTATATAAACTGATTGATTCCTAACAGCATTAATGGAATTCTGTGGTAATGATTCACTGTTAGTTTATGGCGTTACTTTATTCATGAATAATGAAGCAGATGAATAAACAGAGGGATGAGCAGACAGAGAGATAAAGAGACTCCAGTGTGCTGACCTGTGTGCTGATGATGTCAGTGCTCAGAGTCTCTGTGAGAGGAGGGTAGAGCTCCAGACTGACAGTCAAAACACCAGCTGGGACTTTGCATTCGCTTCCTGGTCAAACACACAAACACACACGTTACTGAAAGCTGATAGAGCTGCAAAGACACAGGGAAACTGTGGATGTTTTTTTAAAAACCTTACATTTGTAACAAATGCTTGCTTAGTTACTGTTAGTCAACAGAAATAACTGTTAATATTTCACAGCAGTGTTTCCAGCCTGAGCACGAGGACACCTCTGTGGAGTCTTGAGATCATTAATGTGACAGGAAAGAATTAGTTCTATATACAGTCATGGACGAAAGTATTGGCACCCCTGGAACTTTTCCAGAAAATTCACAATTTCTCCCAGAAAAGTGCAATTACAAATGTTTTGGTATACACGTGTTTACTTCCCTTTAGGGCATTGGGACAACACAAAAAAGCAGAAGAAAAAAGCCAAATTTGACATAATTTTACACAAAACTCAAAAATGGGGTCGGACAAAATCATTGGCACCCTCAACTTAGTATTTGGTTGCACCCCCTTTGGAGAAATTAACTGAAACCAATCGCTTCCTATAACCATCAACAAGTTTCCTACACCTCTCAACTGGAATTTTGGACCACTCTTCTTTTGCAAACTGCTCCAGGTCTCTCAGATTTGAAGGGTGCCTTCTTGCAACAGCAATTTTGAGATCTTTCCATAGGTGTTCTATGGGATTTAGATCCGGACTCATTGCTGGCCACTTCAGAATTCTCCAGCGCTTTGTCTCCAACCATTTCTGGGTGCTTTGTGAGGTATGTTTTGGGTCATTGTCCTGCTGGAACACCCATGACCTCTGACGCAGACCCAGCTTTCTGACACCAGGCCCTACATTACGGGCCAAAATCGTTTGATAGTCTCCAGATTTCATGATTCCTTGCACACAATCAATGCACTTAGTGCCAGAGGCAGCAAAACAACCCCAAAACATCTTTGAACCTCCACCATATTTGACTGTAGGTACCGTGTTCTTTTCTTTGTAGGCCTCTGTTTTCTGTAAACAGTAGAATGACGTGCTTTGCTAAAAAGCTCTACCTTAGTCTCATCTGTCCACAAAACATCCTTCCCGAAGGATTGAAGCTTACTCAGGTATGTTCTTGCAAACTGCAGTCTGGCTTTTTTATGCCTCTGTGTCAGAAGTGGGGTTCTCCTCGGTCTCCTGCCATAGAGCTTCATCTCATTCAGATGACGATGTATGGTTCGAGCTGACACCGTTGCACCCTGAGTCTGCAGGACAGCCTGAATTTGTGTGAAGTTGACTGAGGTTGTTTATCCACCATTCGAACTACCCTGCGTTGCATTCTTTCATAAATGTTTATCTTCCGTCCACATCCAGGGAGATTTGCCACAGTTCCATGGGTTATAAACTTCTTGATTATATTGCGCACAGTTGACAAAGGAACTTTAAGATCTCTGGAGATTGACTTGTAACCTTGAGATTGTTGATATTTTTCCACAATTTTGCTTCTTAAGTCCTCAGACAATTCTCGGCTCTTCTTTCTCTTCTCCATGCTTGGTGTGGCACACACACAGGCACACAACACAAAGGTTGAGTCAACTTTTATAAACTCTAACTGGCTTCAGTTTCGATTTCTATATTGCCAGCACCTGTTACTTGCCACAGGTGAGTTTAAACGAAGATCACATGCTTGAAATGAAATTATTTACCCACAGTTTTAATAGGGTGCCAATGATTTTGTCCAGTCGATTTTTGGATTTTTGTGTAAAATTATGTAAAATTTGCCTTTTTTCTTCTGCTTTTTTGTGTTGTCCCAATGCACTTAAAGGAAATAAACATGTGTATACCAAAACATTTGTAATTGCAACACTTTTCTGGGAGAAATGGTGCATTTTCTGGAAAAGTTTCAGGTGTGCAAATACTTTCGTCCATGACTGTTTATTATATTTTGCTACTCAAACTTATATTACTTTTTAAATTACCTTTCACTTATAGTGGCTCATTTCTTGTAAAATACTACAGAATTTTGGATCTTCTGGCCTAACATTATACAAACGAAGAAATGTCAGTCAGTCTTTTGTTGCACAACTCAAAACTCACAGACATATTCAGCTGTAAAGGGATGGGTTGCAAACAGACACTGCTTCATTTTAAGGGGTCACCAGCCAGAAAAGTCGAGAAACAATGTTTTACAGCTTTACACACAATTTTATACAATGTATGTACTATAGCGTGGGGTCCCTGCTCCGTCTCCCTATCAGCTGTGGGAGCTTTGGCCTAAAAAAAATGTATAAATGTGGAGGAAAAATCTATTGCAGACAAAATAAAAGCTTTCAGTGTATCCCAGATGATCAGCTACAAATAAAATACTTATGTTAACAGCATATACAGTAGGTTAGAATACATGAAATTCATGGTGTAATTGCAAATGGTTTAAAAAAAAAAACCTTACATGATGGATGTGTGAATGAACCCCATTAGTGAACAGAATCATCTAAATGGGTTTCCTGAGTAGAATGTCTTCAGAACTTTTCTGGCTAATAGAGCAATAATGTCAGCATGAATCTATCACTGTGATTTTATTGGTACACAATACTGCACTACTACTATACTAATGTAGAGCTTAATGTCAAGAAGAACTGAACTGCAAGATCTCAGTGTGTGCAGTTGCTTTCAGGTACATTAGCAATAGAAACAGGCAGGCTTAGTGGTCTGCTGGCAGAGAAAAGGTTTTGTTTGTTATGTGATTTAGGTGAGGCTCAAGATGAAGTCTATTTTATGTTATAGCTTATTTTATGATACTTCAAGGGGAAAAATAATAATGATAATAAAGTGATATTTATGAAAGGAACCCTTTTTTCTGGCAAAGGAAACCATTCTTTGTTTGCAATTTAATGTGTGTTTTTGGTGTCTTATGTGTCAGTGTGAGCTGGGCACTTGTATAAACATGACACAATAAATAAACTACTACTGTTCTCTATTCTGTTCTATAAGATTCTTAGTCATATAGATGTTTTTGAAAATAAACACCATCACTCGCAGCAGAATGACCCTTCCTCACCAACTCCCATCAGCTCCACAGCAAAGCAGGTCTTCCCACTGGGCAAACTGAGGACTGTCCTCCAGTCCAAGAAGTAGGACGAGACCAGCGTTGTCTCGCTGGAGGTGTCCGTCCTGATCAGCACCAAGTGAACCGGGTCACACATAGAAAGCAAGGTGGTCGCATCCGCCATTTTACTGCCTTCCCCTGCAGAGCCAAACATAATTACAAAAGGAGACAAACTGAGCAGAGGTAATATTATGCAACAGCGTAACAACTGTTAGTCCTGACTGAGTGACACCAACAGTGCTAGTTTACACGTACCTACACCATCTCTGTGGATCTCTAAGAGGAAGCCCTCCTTCAGGTCAGGTTCGCAGGCACAGGGAACTGGCTTTGAGCGAAACCTCTGGTTGCGGAAGTGCAGGTAGAGCGTGAATGTAGAACACACCTGACCAGGTAAAGGCTCTGGCTCCTGGAGGTGCTCCAGAAAGGCCTTGCCACCAAGCACTTGAAAATACAGGTACCGCCTGCATGGGTCAATATTGGCTAGCAAAAAGAAAAGAATGTCTTCACTTAACCGTTCAAACATTAACAGGGGCAGCTAGAGTCAAAGATGTTGGTTTATTTTCTTACTTTTTTCTAGCTTAGTAATATTCTTGTCAACAAAGTGAGTAGCAGGCTTTGGAGGAGATCTTGTTTCTGCTTCTGTGGGTACTTTCTACCAAAGCAGACCAACAAGACAAAAGTACCAGTCAGCAGGTGATTGAATGCATACAATTCATACAATGGATGAATGATGATGTTGTCTGTATCTGGGTCCATTTTCAATTCATGAACTGCTGTCAGCCTAATTAATCATCAACTATATAAACTGCCTGCAAAATGTTGGTCAACCTGGGTAAAGTGTAGGTCCTTCATCACGTCATCTATGATGCCCCTGCGCTGCAGAGCACGTAGGAAATCTGCCTCAGACAGAGACCGATGTGCTGGACCTTGGTCATCCCTCACAGTCTCAGCCAGCACCTCTCGGATCTTCCCATGAATATCCATCTGATAACCAGAAAGGACAGAATAAACACCCCATTCCCGTTCACCTGGAAAAGTATGCCACAGACAATATCCCTGTCATTTAGGCTTAGTCGTGTATCTGTGGCTTTCCCTCTCCCCACAACATAATGACGGTTAATGGAATTGCACTACCACTGACATCACATTGTCCCACTTTTATGCCTGTTTAAAAGCACCCATCCTTCTTCACTATTATGCCGTCTGTTGATATCTTTTTCATTACAATCTTAGTGCAAATTGAGGATAGAAGCATTATGTTTCTCAGACATCTTGCTGTAAACACAAAAATAATTCCATTATCAACCAGTTACTAGAGAGAAAATCCTAAGTGACCAATAGGATATTACATATTACATTAATTCTACTACTGTCCATTAATGTATCAGTGTACCTACAGCTCAACGGACCTATTTGTACCGCTCAGAGAGCAGTTACACAGTACTACTGTGCTGTAGAGTGCCCTAGTGTGGCTATAACAACAGAACAATGTTTCACATAATGACATCACATATTTAGTTCAGCCGAACTTAATAAAAGACGCAGTTTAATGCTGCTGTAACATATAATATTATTTATCATTTGTGCATTTTTATCAGTTAGCAAGTAGACATTCATTTGCTATATTTTCAAACGGCATTTGGCGAACTGCTCCTCCTTCAAGAAAACACGTCTGCGCAACAGTTAACCCGCCTATCAGACTGCATACAAGAGCACACTGTTTAATAACACAAACATGTAACGTTAGCTCCAGAAATGAAAGCTATGTAACGTTAGTTCGCTCACCCTGAGCAGATGGTTGTGAATGATTTGCTTCAGCTCGGAAGCTTTCTCTGGAGGCAGGGACATTACAGTTGACGAGCTCTGGCCAGTTTGAAGCAGAAATAGCTAGCTAGCTTAGCTATAAGGAACTATTAGGAAGGATTAACAACTGAAGTTTTCTTTCTGAGCAATATTTGATCCTCGTTAACATGTCGCGTCTGTAACACACTCAAATTTCTTACAGCCACAACTGCCAGTTTAAACTGTGGCGGAAAAGCAAGCGGGAATACGGCTAGCCTGCTGCCTGACAACGTCCTGTGGTTAAAATGGTTGTTATTATACAATTCTGTACCGATACAAAATAATATAGGCCGAGTCGGATATCACTGATGGGATATTTTATTTTGGGGGACGTTAATTTCAGTTTTGTTTAATTTTGTTTCAAGAAATGTTGGCCATTTTATTCAGGGATTGTAATGGTTGTCGTACTATCGTCACTCTCTGCGGAAACCAGTACAGGACCCTCTTTTGTAGTCCAAATTGTAGTTCGTAGTACTAGACCTTGTAGATATAGTTAACTTTTACCTTTTTAAAAAAAATCTTTTTACCAAGTCAACCAATTTTATATTAATGAATTAACTTCTTCTACTCCTTTACACAATAGATATAATGTATGTAATTATTCTGTTTAAAGCACTTCAAAAACCAAAACTGTTTCTTTTAGTTGATAGCTCTGAACACATACAGTGCTTCCTCCTTCACATGCGCCAATGCAATCCCACAGACAAGAGAAAATGAAATTACTACAGCAGTCAATATGAGCAAGGCCTCTTCTTGAAATATTGAATCAATTCCTGGAATCCACGGTGAGAGGCCTCCAGTCTGGCTGCATTGATTTAACTCATGGTCAAAATGAAATTATGACTAACACAGCACAGCAGAACAGGGATGGGGAGAGCTCAGGGTGGAAACTGTGAATGAAAGAAAACACACCAGCAGACGAGCAGGGTTTGGTAAAAAAGGATGAATGTTTTATTTTAAGAAGTATTTTGTGTTTTGTTTGCTTTTTTTCAAAACACCATCTTTCATATTCTCACTGCAACTCAGCAGTGTACAAAACTCCCCTGAAAATCTTATGTGGAAAACAAGAATGAATGGAATGTTATGGTCAAACTTATCTCTTCTGGGTTAAATGAGAACTGAGTTAAAGCCATGTCCAACAGTGGTAACTAGCCAATCAGCAACACATCATCTCAGGAGTCAGTACATGCTACTGACATCTGTGTGCAATCGACTCTGATACACTTTACTGTATCACACCTCAGTAACTACAAACCAGTCATTGCAGAGCTAGCACGTTACTCATGTTATGTGGGAAACAACAGCTCACATAAACCTTTATCTGTCCTGATCATGCTAGGAAACCTTGGAGCACTTTTCCATTAAATTTCACTTCAAGGCACATTAAAAGCTATCTCAACCAGCAAACAAACAGGTAAAGACATATGTATGCCATCACTGACTGGACTTTATTCCAAGGTGCTCTGCTCCAACTTCTAAATTGCACTATTATAGCTTTGGATTGGTCCTAGTCTATTCAAAACCAATTTGGTGATACTATGGGTTCAAATTAAAAAGTCACACGCGAAGCTAGTATGACTATCACTTTGTAATGTAGGTGTCAGTTATGTCAAAACAGAAAATACATTCCACATAATGGGAGTACAAGGTTTCATCAATGAACAGCTCGTCTGGCTGTTAACTTCCAAAAAACGGACAGCTTTGCTTTGGTTTCCTCAAAAACAACAGTGGGATAACCTGAAAATACACACATGAACCCATCCAGTGGGTAAATACACGCACTAAGCAGTGAGGGACCCGATAGCTTGTATGATCCGTGACACAACCAAAAACTATGAAAAAACGTGCTTGTATAACAGGAAATAAAAAGGTTAACATTCTAGCAGAGTTTGAAACATCAGCAAGGCAGCTCCCCATGAAGTGTCCAGTCACACAAAAATATATATCTGGCCGTATTAGGGTGCCCTGCTAAATGTGAATGGAAGAACAAGTGGTGCTCTGGAAAACCTCTAAATACATGCATGAAATGCAAATTTCAATACAGAAAAACCAAAAAAAATCCACAGCTGACCTCTATGCTCTGGAGTCTTCCTATGTATCTGTGGTACGATGGCCAGTCAACACAAGTCATTTTGAAATGTAAAACGTGTCCACAGATGATCAACACACATCTGACCATTACAAATAAAGAATGCAAAAACAAACCTGTCAGATTTTTTTTTTTTTGCTTTGTACTGCACCTTTAGTAAGTTTCTTTCAAAGCAATTTGCTATGATACAGTACATTCATCAACAGTGACAAGAAGGAAAGGAAATAAAATCATCGTGCTGGCACCAAGATCCTGAGATGTTACTATTTTTGTTAAGATCTTACATGAAAAATATACACACAATCATTTGATCTAGCGCTCCCGCATTCTGACCTCAAGAAATAAATACCCTCAGTTATGCACATATTACCATCTAAATCTACTTAGAGAAGTACCTAATCCCAGGTACTGGTGCAAAATAGGAGTCAGTTTTAAGTGACCCAGAGTGTTTCACTGGGAGTACATCCAGCACACCAGCAGGCCGACGGCCAAAGCTGCCCCAGCGCCGACGTTGAGCAGAATGGGTCTCCAGTAAAGCCACTTCTCTCGTTTCCTCTCCGAGTCGGTCAGTCTCTGTTTCATCTGCTGGACCTTGTGTGAGGTGCTGGCAATCCTCTCCTCACGGTGTCGCTTTCTGACACTGAAATAAGAGTCAGTTTAAGGAAAGTAGTCAGCACGCAACAGTGTGAAAATCCCATCAATCCCACAAACAGTACACCACGGATGTGCCAGGGAATTATTACGCAAGAATGACAAACAAAACTTAAAAGCATTAAACTGAGCTTGGGAAATAACCCTTTTAAAAAAAACAAATACAGCATTTTAAAGTTTCTACAGTTGTGTCCTTTCTTCACAATAAATCTGACTGAAGTTCCCTTTAAGAAGTCCTGAGCTTTTACTTACTTCCCAGAGTTTTCTGCCACGTTGTGGTCTTGGCTGTCTGGCTCTTCTGCCGGTAGGTGGTCTCCTGTGGCAACCTGTGGCTCCAGGCAGGGTCCTGGCTGACCGTTAGGCCTGCTGTCATTGAGGTGAGGTCTGGGTGGAGGAGGTGGAGGTGGCAGATCTGGCTCCAAATCATCTCCGGACATCACACTCTGCATGTTTTGCTAGACAAGAAAGAGGGAACACACAAGGAAAAGTAAGTTTTCTCCCAACTTATGAATGTTTGACAAGGTATGGAAACCATTAGACTAGTTAACAGTGAATCTTCTGATGACCAAAGTCAGCTTTGTGTCACATACATATTTAGTTTATTTGCAGAAACCTAAGAATATAAACTTACAGGAAAAAAATGGGCAATTACATATGCAGATTGTTAAAATAGCTTTAGCGTTTATAATACTTATATTAAATTTGAAGATACTCTTCATAATTTCAAGCTTGATAACCTCGACAACCATCTGAGTTTCTTAGTAGGTGTGCTTTCTGTGGGCTGTCTGAAAGATTTTTTGTCGTCAAATTAATTGCAACAACATTCAAATAGTTGGGTTGTGGACTAAAATTAGACTAAGAAATGTACTATGGTGCAGAAAGACTCATTTTTTCCTCATTGTATACCAGAAAATCTGCGTATATCAGATAACATATGTGTCTGTACTGATATGTCTGCAATAGGCAAATATCGGCCAACCGATATATTGAATAGTAAAAATGAATGGTAGCTATATTCCTTTGGGCTGCTTCAGTTTCAGGATCCTTGTATAAAACAGAACAAGCGAGTTAATGTTATTAGTAACACCAGAGGTTTTTCCTTCTATGAATAGTCCACATGCCTTCTTATGTTCATATGGCAAATGAGTACTGTATTAAGATAGACTTGAAAAAAATTATGACCCCCACTATAGAATAGAATAACTATCTATCTAACTAATCTGATTAATCTATGAGATATGCAAACATCCTTGATTGGGGATGGTGAGGAGTCTGCGTAGAGACTCAACAGCTGGCCCTCTGGTGCGGTCAAAACTGTGGATGACAGGACTCCCAACACTGCCCCCCCATCATACTCAACAGCACTATGCCTGATGTGGGAACCTTTAGGTTTCTGGGATCCATAATCTACCAGGACCTTCCAACACTGTCATCAAAAAGGATGTACTTTCAGCTCAGGAAGTTCAGCCGGCCTCAGGAGCTGCTGATCCAGTTTTGCACTGCAATCATTCTGTCTTGTTTGGATCGGCCACCAAACAGGACAGGAACAGACTTCAACAGACAGGACTGCAGAAAAAAAATCATTGATTCCAACCTATAATTCATTCAGGACTTATACAGGTCCAGAGTTCAGAAACATCACTGCAGATCAATCACACACACTGGACCTGTTCCAACTTCTCCCCTCTGGTAGGTGCTACAGAGCACTGTACGCCAAAACTACTGATACATCCATCAATTGGCTGGCTAATTAATCAGACCAATCATCTAGCCTTTTGAGATAATTGGCATCAGCCAATAACAAAAAATTACACATCTGCAGCCATGTCAGTGTAGCTGCTGTGGAATGATGTTAGCACTTCCCTTTGTGAGTTTTGGGAAGATGGTGAAACAGCCCTGTACCATAACTCACATGCATCTTGATGTAAACATATGCCTGAATTTGCTAAAGAATACAATTACACATTAAATTTCTTTGCTTTGATATCTGCATTATATATCGGCCATCGGCAGTAACCATTAAAAAAACCAACATTGCTCGACCACTAAGAACAACCAGACACAAGAACAGTTTCAACCCACGCACCCTCTCTCTGATTAACATCTAAAGCAGTCAGATAGTGCCAATAAACCTGTGACACTAAAACATCCACTTACCTACAAATCATAAATTATATATTTACAGTTTAAAATACACACTGTGCTTTAACACAAACCAATCAGCCATTATGGTCACATATAAATCATGCACACTGTATACATACTTGCATATACTGTACATCACCACCTACATGTTGCCCATGCACTATTTATTTATTTGCACTATGCATTTGTTTACAATTTATACATACACCTGACTTGTTGATCATTGTTGCTTTTTATATATATTTATTTATTTATTTATACACCTATTTTCTCACCTACTTGTATGTAAATAATAGTTATTTGTCTATTTTTACCTGTCTTTGTTGTCCTTGGTTTTAGCTGTATGTCTATTTCTCCATTTCCATTGTAAATGTGTGTAATAGGTCAAATTCCTTGTAGGTGTACACATACTTAGCAAATAAAGCTGATCCGGTTTCTGATATGCAGATATGAACACAGATAATGAAAACAGAGTATGTATATAAAACATTTAAGGCTGGCATAACTGCAATTTAAAAGCTATTTTAACGGATATTAAGGAAATTCTGTACTGGTTCCATGTTGGTTTCATTTTGCAGTTGTTACAGCATGATCAATACAAATTTTGTGAGACTGAAAAGTGTTTCACTATACAAGTACAGTAAACTTCAAAAATCTAATCAATCTTAAGACCTGTCAAGACATTTTAAGGTCTACAATTCTGATTATTAGACTTTAGACTAAGACCTTGTGGACAATTGTGTGCTCTCAGTAGGTGTGTTATATGAGTTTTAAAGATACATTTTTGTTAGCAAATAGCAGTCCTGCTTTTTGTGACAGTTGTGGACTTTTGTTGTGCTGAACTTTGGCCAAAAATCTACTGGGATGTAAGTAATCCAAAAAAAAAGAAGAGCAGGTAGAGGTGTAAGGAAACAATATAAATACCAGCTGTGTGATGTCTCAGTTGTGTCGAGTATGACACATCTACCTGCTCCTGATAATGCTTTTAAAGTAAAAGAGAACGCTTAAACCTGCAACAATGCCTGCTTTCACCCACTTACTAAAACTGTGTACAATAGACAGCACAATGGAATCAACTTGCAGACTGTGCAGGCAGTCACCTATGTAGTCTCAGATGTCAGAGTTTCACTGGTACTGGAGCTCACCAACAAGGTAAAAATCCTCACATGACAGCCCGAGCCTGAGACATACAAGTGCAGTGTTACTCCCCGGCCTTGTGACTAAACTACCTGTGCTGCTGAGTTGTCTGTCAGGATGAGCTTGGCTCCCTCGATGACTGCCATGTAGGAGAAGCGGAGCTGGTCGGGCGTCTGGATCAGGCCCATGCGGTATTCCCTCATGTCCAGTAGCACCTTCTGTATCTCTACTGATGATGGGTTCCTCCTCTTGCTCATCTGCAAAACAGATGAACGTGTTTAGAATACAGATGAAAAGATTCTGCAATTAAGCCTATGTTTTCACTAAATAAGTAACATTCAGACAGCTTAACCCAAGCTAATATCATGTTTGTAATCATGAATGGTAATGACAGGTTTAGGGTTCCTGCTTCACGTGTCCACATGGATCATGATACCTGAGACTTGATCAGGATTTAATCCAAAGGTTACAACTATGACTGGGTATGGGTCCTTAACTTGATATCTACACATGCCCTATATGGTTAAGACAGTATGTGTTTTTATTTTTCCTTTCAAACTGTATAGGAATCGAATCAAACTAGGACAAGCAGCATGATAACGCCATCAGATTCTGATTCAAAAGTTGCATAATTCTAGAGAAAGTACGTGGTATTTTTCTAATAAACCCCCACCCACTTCAAAACCAGCGAAAAGAGCACAGAGGAAAAAAACACAACAAAACAGAAACCTCTGATGTAAGATAACCAAAACTGTTGTAACTTTGGAAGAAAATGGTGCGTTCATTTAGAATACCATTGCTCTTAGTAAGAAGCTGACTGACAAAATACTTTTTCAGGGCCTTTCCGATCAGGGCTTTTTTTCAGAGATCCCTTTCAAAACTCTGTACGTGTGATAACCTCTTTTAGACTTACTTCATCCACACCTGCATCTCTCCAGTTGAAGGTTTTCACTGGTATCCAGAGCTCCATTTACTGACATTTAATGCATTCAAGTATATCAACAAGCCTCAACTTCTCCTTTTGCAGCCGAACTAAGTATAATCATACCATCTCATCTTACTCTCCTGCCATAACTTGAATCTCTTGAGTAATCGCCTAAAAAATTAGGCAACACTTCCCTTTAACCCTGACTGTAATTAGTGACTTCCCCTCCCTCCCGATCTGTTCTCACCAGGATCAGGCAGGTGTCCACCAAGGCGAAAGTCCCTGAGCGTCCAATCCCAGCGCTGCAGTGCACCACCGAGGGCCCGTGCTCCGGGCCCAACGAGCCGGACTCCCGAACCTTTAAGAGGAAGTTGAGGAAGGAGGCGGGGGATTCTGGGACACCAAAGTCAGGCCACGTGGTGTAGTGAAAGTGGTATATCTCCCTCGACTCCCCCGTCTACGACAGAAAACACGTGATGTCGGCCGTGATTGGAGCATCGTATAGACAGAGTTCTGCATGACTGGGCTGATTTGTCGCTAAGAAAACATCACACGCCAAATGAAATCACAGCATCTATCATCTCCATACATGGACTCAGATGCTGGATTTAATAAGTTACAGCCACTCAAGGTAATATAAGTTAAGACATGTTAAATAAGCTCAGAACAAGTAGCTGCCCTGAAAATGAAGCCTGAATGAAGTAACACAAGCGAAGCAATAGAAAGAATGTATTCTTGAATACAGTAAAGAGCTGCACTTCTCCTGAACTAGACACACTGCAGTTTTCAATTCACAAAATATTATTTCTAAAATTGAATTTTTAAAAAGCTATTATCCAAAAGTCTGCCTCTCATGCTCACCATTGTGTTTTGCAGTTCTAGGACTCGGATTGTGTAATAGGACTGGTCCTCCTCAGAAAGTAGCCTGACAACAAAGCCTGTGTCTGTGAAAGACATCTGTAGCTCCTCTGTGGTGGGCCAGTACTGTGCACACTTTTCCTGTTAAGACAAAAACGAATTAACTTAAGTCTTGGATAGGAAGCCACGTGCTCCCAGGGTAAATACACACTGACTGGGTATATAACACTGGGTTTTCACAGCCTTTATGTGCAAGAGATTCATTGAATTCAGGGCATCCATCTTTATCAAGAAATACCACTATCAACGTAAAGGACTGTACTATGTACAAAAAACACCTGATTATGTTACTTACCCTAAGGGTCATTGTAGTCCATCATACTACTGTTACACAACATAGAACTTGGCATAAATAGCCAGTGCCCACAAAGCAGACAACATTTATCTGATTTTAACCCTCAACCCTGCTGAGGTCTGATAGATGATGACGTATTCTTGTTGTTGAATGTTTAAAGAAACAACAGATGAGGAGAATAGTTCAAAGAGGTCTGGTACAGTATGTTCTTGGGTCTGAATTAATTATTCAACACTTACATTTCCAACCTTTTGGGTCCCCTTAGTGAGGTATTTTAAGTGCACAAGTGTTACTATAGATACAATTATGAAAAATAAAAGTACACAATTCCTTTATTCCCACAGCAATCAATGTATAGTTCCTATTTGCTTATTTTACCAGTTGTTTGTATTAACTTTGATTGTGTGTTTTGATTATGACGAGTGAACACAGCAGAAGACATGAGTGTTTGTGTAATGTAACACCAGATTATGATGAAAATCAAGAATTTTACAAGTACTATATTTGAATTCAAGCATATATATAACAGTCAAACTATCACAGACACTATATGCCAATAACATCTACAGCTAAAATTACTATTACGATAGAACACCTTGAAACATGTCTCCCAGAACTTTTGAGTGTAACAGACAACAAGGAAGGGGCTATAAAAATTAATCAATCATCAGCAGGTGCTGAAGTGTACTCACAGATCCCTTTTCTATGACTCTGTTGAGCATTATAACAGCTTTGGAACACTGCTCCCAAATCATCAGCCAGAAATGACCACAGGTATTCCTCAGAGGCCCCTGAGGAAGCAAGAGAAAGAAAATCATTGACAAGTGCTCGCAAAACATCAACATCTTGAACATTGTTCTTCAAATGGGCCACAGATCTATTTAATGTACACTGACGTTGCCTGTACGACACAATCCTCACCTGAGAAAGAATGTAAGCTCTTTTAGCTTCTTCCACTGTGACTAAACTTGCATTGATGTAGTCATTTTCAGCGTTTTCGAGCTTTACCCGACTGTGATCATCTGAAACCAGACCAGAGAGATCATAAAGCAATCGCAAATCCCACAGACGCCCTCCGCAACAACACAGGTTTGTCATTAATAACCTTATTTGTCATAAGACTCACATGGGCTGACATCTCTGTAGCGGTTCAAATTCCGATTCACTGGAAGTTTTGCCACTTTGTAAGGATATTCACTGGCTTGATTACGGATCTCCTGTTGGAGAAAAACAGACATGTAGGAAGTTAGGAGTGTCACATTGTGTTTATGAAGTCGACAACAGCAACGAGAGACAGGTTGTGAGACCAACTGGTGCACACCACACGACACACACCTAATGCCTGACTCAAGTGGGGGCCAGTAAAACTCACAGCATTAAAGACATTGAAATACTCTCTTTACCACAGTTTGTCTTGAGCTAGATGGATTGGAACTGTCATGTATAACAAACACGTACTTATCTGCTTTGTTCTTATTGTCATATTATTGTATTGTGTTGTTGAGGGATGTGGGCTTTACTACGCATAGTTTTCATTGTGAGTGTAGGGTGCAGCCAAAGATGATCTCCAAGCCTCTGTTTAAGTTACAGATAAACAGAAATTAAACGGCTAAACATGAGAGCAACTAAAGGACAACAATAGACTTTGACAGACACCGGGATAGTTTAAACATTCAAGTAAACATAAGAAAAATAATTCCACTTATGAGGATATAAAAACTACACTCCGACTACTGTACTAACGTTAAGTTACTACTACTGTAGTTGACCTTTCATTTATTTATAAGCTTGGTGTTGTCGTTAGTTATTGACTGAGAACGTGGTTCAAATACACTAACGTTACAAAGAATATTTTCCCTGACAAGATTTCTAGTCTTTAAACTGATGTTTACGGTGTACTGCCTGTATTTGTGGGTTTCTGAAGGGGTAAGTACAAAACATCTCGAGTTCTTCGTTATTCTTCAGTTAGTAGTTAGCCAAGTTACACATGACGGGGTCATGGCCATAGTTAAAGCGGAACAGAATTATTACAAACTAAATGCTGGGCTCTCTTAGACAGCTGGCGGTAAAACACATGCGCTTTTCTCTGGAAGTCCCGACGAGTTCTCAGAAACTGCAGCTGACGTCTGCTAGCGTCAGACAGGCATTAGCTAACTGAGCTCAACTGCCGCTGCACGTTTTCTGGCTACAAGCTTTGTAGCTACGGAAGTCAGCGACTACTAACACTTAGCGGCTATTTTCTCATTCGTCTTCGCCAAGTGCACAGCACTACATATAGCATCTGAACACTGTTATTAAGTCTACAAGTTAACACAGCTAAATGAGTCGCACAGAAGGCTAACAGTTACCAGATAGTGGGACTGGTGTCTAACGGACTAGCTCTCAAATTAGCTAGCTAAGTAAGTTAGCAACCGATCGTCATAGAAACACGAGAGGCCCAGTGTCCCGACTTACATTGTAAAGGTTTTGCCATTTCCCGGACGAGTCAATGTCCTCAAATTCTTGCTCCATTGTATCGTAATTCGTGCCCTGAGACACTTGCAGGTCGAGCACAGAGTGTTTGAAGCACCGTTCACCAAGTTACTCCTTTCTGTAAGCCATCTAACCAGCAGTCTGTCTAACCCCGGGGATCCCTGCAGTGGGAGTCTGCTGCTCCTGCACAATACTGCCTGCACGCTGACTGACTTGGGTTGCCAGTTACGTGTTTATCTCAACCTATCAAAATAAAAGAATTCGAGACTATTACTGCTGTGTGGGTATTTTATTATATTAATTACATTAACATTGTAAATGTATATACACATTTTATTGCTGGTTATTTGAATCTTACCAGAATGATTTATTATGTTTAAACATGTTTGTATATCTTCCCATTATAACGTTACATCAGGCAACATTAGAATAACACATGAATTAGTATACAATACAAAACAAGCATTTTCCAAACATCTCAACACGATCTAAACGTGTTTAATATGAATGTCAATAAAACTGTTGTTAGGTAAACATTCTACTTAAACCTGGCAACCCCGATGACCGGAGCAAGGCAGCTGAACAAACAACTTCCTTACTAATTTTCATATGACAGCAGTGACTTTTTTATTATGTTTTTTTTAATTATATTCTCTTCGGTTCGACGTGAAAAGTTTCAACATAAACGTTGTTATAGTACCTCAAAAACATGATTTACTTAAAATCGGTGTGAATGCGCCCCTCTGTGGTCAACACTGGTGCACACACTCGCTGCAACACAACGACGACCCGCGAAACATACACACACTAGTGTGGACACATGACAGGCCTGCTAGGTACCCAGTGCAGCTAGTGTTGCTGGCATATTGGGGTTATAATCATGTTTGTAGCGCGTAGTATCGCAGCAGATCATAAAGACCTCATCCACGATGTGTCGTATGATTTTCACGGCCGGAGAATGGCGACTTGCTCCAGTGACCAAAGTGTCAAGGTAACGTAAGTGAACGTGAAGTATACATCAGGTCGCTAATGCTAGCGTTAGCTGTCGTAGCTAGCTTGTTAACATTAACTACATTATCAACACCTTTAGCTCACCATTGAGTGTACTGACTCTCATTTCATCCACCTGTTGTTGACAGAAGTAACGTTAGATCATTTGCTAAAGCTGCTGCTAATTCTGACTATAGAAGGTGGTTTATTAAATTTAACTAACATAACTTAGTGTGCTAGCCATGGTGCCTGTAGCATACAAGCTACGGTAGCTGCATGTCACAGTTTAATGTAAACAGTGCAGAGTTGGCTCATAGTAACAAAATACATCCCATACACCTGCTGCATGTCATTTATAATACACATTGGATTTAGTAGGTGTAATCTAATTTCAAACCAATTCAGGATCTCAAAGTTAAGAGTTCATCACATTGACTATCTTATGGAGTGTGTACACGGGTACTTCAATGTCACATATATTTCTTAACATTGTTTCACATCACACACACTTTTTTCTCTCAGGTTTGGGACAAAAGTGAGAACGGAGAGTGGCACTGCACAGCCAGCTGGAAGGTAAACCACCTGCTGCTGCTTGATCTGTTTTAATGGCAAAGGCTTTCCTGGTATAATATTTAAGATAGAGATATATGAATACATTATCTGCTTGGAACAATAATGTGTGTCTGATATGTTTTCTGAAAAAAAAAAAATTATTTCCATATCAAAATCCTTTAAAATGCTACTACGTCTACCTCATTAAAAATACAAGAATTATAAATTGATATGCAAATTCGGTTCATTTCTAAAGTGTTCCTGCTGGACACAAGATGTCTCCTACTTCACTGTAAAGTCCATTCTCAGTGGATGTGCACTGGTGGCTTCAAGTTCCTACATCACACTGTACAAGTTGCAAACTGGACCAAGATTGACAAACTTTGCACATACATCATTCTGCACAGTCCTGTAGGAACAAGAAGAAAACCAGATTTCTGAGTGGAGGGGGACTTTAATTTATCAGCCAGCCTGCTTGACTAACAACATATTACATTTGTTACATTTCTTTTACTATGTATGTCAACTGACACAGTGGACATAAATAGTAAAAGTGTCTTGTGTACTCATACATTCAGTGATGCGGATACAACTTGAAATCTGGCATTATAGTGTTGGAGTTTATTGACTTGACAAAAGCGTTTTTTTTTTAACTGTGCAGACACACAGTGGATCAGTGTGGAGAGTGACCTGGGCTCATCCAGAATTCGGGCAGGTTCTGGCCTCCTGCTCTTTCGACAGGACAGCTGCTGTCTGGGAAGAGATTGTAGGGGAGTCCAACGACAAGCAGAGAGGACTGAGCCACTGGGTTAGTGCAACTCTAGCATCCATATAATAGAACAGACATTTATTTATTAATCATAGACAGCTCTTCGCTTTAGTACTACCAATTGAAAATGCTACTAAAGTTGTGCTGTAGTTTCCCTGTTAAACATTGATTGTCCCTTTGCCATAGTTTTCTGCTTGATACAAGATCTGAGCCAAGTATTTCATGTTGATATTTTTTTTTAGATAAAGAGAACCACACTAGTCGACAGTAGAACCTCAGTGACTGATGTGAAGTTTGCCCCTAAACACATGGGCCTGATGTTGACCACGTGCTCTGCGGACGGAGTGGTGAGGATCTATGAGGCTCCTGATGTGATGAACCTGAGTCAGTGGTCCCTGCAGCATGAGATCTCCTGCAAGCTCAGCTGCAGCTGCATCTCCTGGAACCCCTCAAGGTGAGACCATGGGTGTATGTGTTTTCATTGTATCGTGCTTTGCAATAAAAGTTATTTGTAAGAGGTGGAGCTGCGACGATTAGTCGATATACAGAATGCTACTCTGTCTTGCTAATTGTTTGTTTCCAGTCAGTTTTCAACGTGGTTCCTGATTGTCAAAGTGAGAATTAGCAGCTTTCATTTTCTTAACATTGCCATAAACTGACTATTTTTTTTGGGTTTGGACTATTAGTTGGAGAGAATAGGACATTTAACATTGTCATCGTGACCTTTAAGGGGTCTTTCTGCCTGCAAATACTGAACCGCCGTACCACACTGCTGTGAAACAAGTGCATCTGTGTCACTACACAGCCTCGTTCTCTTTTTCTGATACAGTATTGTTAATGCTGGCTCACTGTCATGTCTAGAACCATTGTTAACTGTATTATTAGTAACACCTGTGCTTTTCTTACTATGACAAGACAAATGCCTGCTGTGAAAAAGGCCTATTCCACTGGATTTGAAATGTAGTACTTATTATCTCCTAGAACGTGCCTCAATCACAGAGCCCCCATTGCCCTCCAGGAACATTGCTGCTCTCATGTGCTCGTCACACAGTCTGTCTGAGTTGAAAGGTGTAATTAAAACTTGTGTTTCAATTTCTAAGATTTAAATTTTTTAAACACATTAAAATGTGCAAAATATACTGCAGAGCACTTATCAAAATATGGATGATAATGGTTTGTGGGATGGGGTATAAAAACTATTGCTTATTGAAGGAGTGTTTGCAACAGCAGTGTACTTCTATATTTGTACAGCCTTTTCTACAGAAACAGTCATTTGTGTAGAATGTTGTAGCAGGATGTGAAATAATCACACTTTGTAGTAAATTCTGGCAATGAAATAACTTGCTTTTCCTGTGTATTTGAGGAATTGGACATTTTAATCCATTTATTCGCTTATCTATTAAAAAAAGAAAACAGTTCGTCAGATAGGTCACATTCGCTACTCTGAGCAGTTTCAAACATTCTGGCAGACCGGTGTTAAATTCAAGACATTCTTTAAATTGACCTTTTTAAAGTAATGTTTTCTGCTGCTAAACTTTCCAGCAGCCTGTTAGTTGATACAGTGGTGTTTGAGGATCTGTGTAATTCTATGTTTTTTTTTCTCTCAACATCCAGCTCTCGTGCCCACCCAGCGATGTTTGCAGTGGGGAGTGACGACAGTAACGTTACATACGGTGGGAAAGTTCAGATCTATGAGTATAATGAAAACACAAGGTAGGTATTCCTGTAGTGTGTTTGTCCCTCTTTTATAAATACACCGTTTACAATCAGTACAGGTATTTTTTGTTTTAAATAATTGTAATTTTTTCACCAATGTCAAAAAGGAAATATGCTAAAGCAGAGACGCTGATGACCGTCACTGATGCAGTCCATGACATTGCATTTGCTCCAAACCTGGGAAGATCCTTCCACGTGCTCGCCATCGCAACGAAAGATGTCAGAATCTTTAAGCTTGTTCCCATGAGGTGAGTTATTCCTTTCTTTTGTGTAGACAGTGTACTGTCACTGAAATCCTGCATTTCACATCCCAATGGCTTCATAGATCTCATACATGTTGCGCAGATTTTCAACAGATGCAAATGAGAACCTATGACTTATTCACTTTCTGTCGTTTGGATCCATCTGACAGGAAGGAGAGCACGTCTACGGGACCCACCAAGTTTGAGGTGCAGATAGTGGCTCAGTTTGACAACCATAACTCCCAGGTGTGGCGTGTGAGCTGGAACATCACCAGCACCCTGCTGGCCTCATCGGGGGATGACGGCTGTGTGCGCCTCTGGAAAGGTGGGAGGTTATTGTTAGCTACTGTTGATGAATGCTCATCTGTTTTCCTTTCATTTTACTGACAGCTGCACTGAAAGCAGTTCAAAATGTTAGTTTTTCCAATGCTGAGTAAACAGTGACTCTCACCAGGTACTGAGTGACATTGGCTGGTGCATTGTTGGTGTCTGTCAGTTTAAGAAGAATGATGAATCAGGCGGTCCAATTTCACAAACAGAGCTGAAGTATTTGCACAGTGTTAAAATTGGTTCACACCAAATCTAAGAAGGGTTGTCACCTTACCCTGTCAGTCCCTACTTTGACTCATTGTTGGTGGTGTTACTTTGTGGCTGTACTTTAATAGTTTCAATAACTGTACCCAGTAGAATTGTAACAATTAGTTTTCAGCTATTAAATTAATCACCAACTATTTGGATAATCAGTTCCTCAGTATTAATAGTAGTCATTTTAAAAGAAAAAAAAAAGTTAAAATTCTCTGATTTCAGCTTCTCATATGTGACTAATTTCTGGTTTGTTTAGTCCTCTATGGCAGTACACTGAATATCTTTGGGTTCTGGATAAAAACATTTGAGGACGTCACTTTGGGCTTGATGAAACACTAATCAACATTTTTCTGATATATTATTGAGCAGATAACTAATTGTTTAATCAAGAAAATAATCAACATATTAATTGATAATGGAAAAAAATCTTTAGTTAGCCCACCCTGCTGGCCTAAATGGTGCATATTAGCCAAAAGGACAAACATGGATTTGTACTATATATGTGTTTATGGAAAAGCAAAGTCAACAGCTAATGAGATGCATTATTAAAACTAGTAGTTTATTTTTTGGTCATTTGGAGCCGGAGGAAACATTTTGCTTGGACTTTAGAGCTTTTCCATTAAACGGCTGCAGCCAAAGACAGTGCTGTGAGAGGAACCAAACCAGTAAAGTCAGCCAGAAAACCAAAACAACTAAGCTTGAAGGTTCTTTTGGAAAATGACAGACTTTGATTCACTTGTCCATCATGTTCCAAGCATCGGGAACCCTGATTTTACCTCCTGTCCCTCTGCAGCTAACTACATGGACAACTGGAAGTGCACGGGCATCCTGAAGGGGGACGGCAGCCCGCTCACCGGCTCGTCTGGTCAGCCCACAGCCATGAGCACCGTGGTGGGCTCCTCTGTTCAGACCTCCCAGAATGCCCTGAACGGGATGTCGGCAGGAAGGTAGGTGGGGTGGTGCGACTGACGCCACTCACCCAGCCCAACCCGAGCCAGTCAGAACTGACAACTTACAATGCCTCACACTGACTGGGACTGCAGCTGCTCACTGACAAACTTCCTGGGCCCACACTGACCAAATGCTGCACTCATGCAAAGAGCTTGGCTTCCAGCATACAGGTTGTCGGCATCAAGCCTGTGGAGTTGAATGTGTTGTGATTTCCTCCGGATTTGTACTGATGCATGTTGATTAGAGTGGTTTCATGTTTCCACGTTGCATTGTCAGTGTTAGGGCTTAACATTTTTCGTGGTATAAAAAGTAAAATAAACCTGTTTTTATATAAATTTGATATGTGACTATTATTTCAGATGCTAGAGTTATTTTGGGATATACAGGAGAAACATTGTCTCGTTTGGTAACAGTATTTTGTAAATATCAAGAAATTTGATTCCCTCAAAATCCAGCAACATTTTAAAGATGAGCAATTAAATCAAAGCTCTTATTTTCCTTGACATTATTCTCCTCATTTCACTTTTGAGTTTGAATGTATCCTCAAACAAGTATTGCCAAACTCTTTGCTGAGCAGGACAGTTTGAATGAACCTTATTAACCAACTGTAATAACATCAGGAAATAGTATGAGCATATGTAGTATGGGTATGAATACAGCCAGTGACATTTATGGTGTTAAAGAGAGTCTATGTAACATTTGAAAGAAGAAATGAAATGTTGAATTCATAAGCAATAAAGCTCACCCTTTCTCAGTTCAGCACACTCGGGGGTTTTGTTGCTCTGGTATGACCAGTAGCTTTGAGTGGCTAATGTTAGCAAAGCTTTAGGTAGAAATTACTATGGAAAAAGTTAGAATTCCACTGTTGGCATTTATCATTATCACGTAATTGCCACTTGTAGCCACAGTGATCACTGTTCAGCAAGTTACATAGGCTTGCTTTAAACTTTAGATGATTAAAAAACACTAATTAAAATGCCAGTGGACAACAGTGTTTGAGCTAACACTGATTTCATCTAAGTTAGTTTGTGGCTGTATTTATGTTCAACTTAATAACCTCTAACATGACATAACCTCTGTATTTACCATTCTTGATTTTGACTTAACTCTTGAGTCACCTCTAACCCAAGTAACAAGTCTACTGAATCACATTCTGTGTTTTAGAATAATTACTTTGCAATCAATTTTGATTTTGTAATGCATTTTGTGAAATTACTCTGCACAAATGTTTTCTTGCACTCGATTTCCTTGTTGACAAAAACGGGTGAACAGTGCGGTTTGTTGAAGTAATGTGGTGTTGTACTGCTTGTTGCATGCAGGATTGGCAAGAGAGCTCCCTTTGCCCCTCCCCTGCGGCAGCTGACCTCTCCAAAGATAAACCAGCATCCTGCATATTACTAATGTCTCCTCTGCATCAGCTACCATTTGCCCTCGTGTTAATGCATTTGAAATGTGTGTGAGTCATGTCCGAGCTGAATACTTGGGTACTGCTGGTTAAGGGCTCTGTTTTGGCATGTAAGCTGCGTGGTTCTATTCTTTACAACTTCCACTTTGTTTTGATTCCAACTTGTTGTTTTCCAGTGGTTCATACCATATACACCTTTTTAAAATAAACCTCTAGCCCTACTCTGTCTGCCATTCTCCTCTCATTTTTGTTGTTTCTAGAGCACACATGCATCCTCTCTCATTTTAATCTCTCATTTCTACTTCCTTTTATGTGTTTCCCCTCTGTATTCCATTGTCACTGTCATTTCCCTGTCCATGTATTTGTCGTCTCTGTCTCCTTCCATTTTTTTCCGTTGCTTCAGGTATTTCTTTCCGCCTCTGGACCCTCCCAGAGCAGGGACCAGGTATGGTCACCTGCTGCCTCCCTCCTCCCTCATAGAGCACTGTGATGCTGAGCCCATTCAGCCTCAGCAACAGGCTCTTCCCCACAGACTCTCCTCTAGAGCACTGCTACCCTTACCAGAGGCTGAAGGGCAGTGATTTTTCAGGCGTTTTTAGCTCAAATAAGAGGGGAAATGGTTTTGGGGGGGGGGTCAAACAACTGCCATTTATTTCTAATAAAGACCTTATTTTTTGTTTGTTTTTTAATGTTGTTTTTCCTGTGCATAAATTAGAAAAGGTATTGAAAGACGTCATTAAGATTTGATGAAATTTGTATTATATGGCCAGGGAAGCCATTTGGATAATCATTTGAATGTATGTTAGTCTGTGAATAATAAACTAAACATTTTTCATATTTAGTGCTTTGTATTCTGGTGCTTTAAGATCATAGACTGTTTTTGGGGGGCCATAAAACAATGTCCGTGCTGGCAGGTAAAGCAGACAAAAATAGAGAAGCATTGTGGGGTTTTTTGTCTGAAGGACTGACCTCAACCATCAGTGCCTGCCTCCAGAGGAAATGTTTGTCATTGTCACTCTTTGATTGTGAAAATTTCACATGGTGGAAGTCAAAATAAACAATAAGATTAAAAGAATTCTATTGACTATTTCCTGCACATCCACAAACAGGAACTGATCGCACTTCATGAAGGACTGACCACCTTGTGAGACAGCTCTTCAATGGAAATAGCACATGATTCATTATCACATTTCTTTTGTTGAAAATGGATCCACTGTATTTTTGTATCTTGACTTGGGAGAAAAAATCCCAGTCACATTGTTGGTAGTTTATGAATGATATAAATAAAAAGCTTATTCAACTGACATGGTTCTCTAAAAACTGACTGTCAACTCGGTACTTCCTATTTTATTAAACTGAAAACTGGAACAGCTCTGTTCAGATTCATTGTTTCAGGTATGAAGTGTCTGAGGGAGTAACTGATCCCTACCAATTCAATGGCTTTTGTGTTGCTGCTGAAGCTTCTAAAGGCAAATACAAGAGATTTCCCTGTGGGGATCACTTAACATTATGTGTGAATATAAGGCATTTCTCCTACCAGTTTTACTTTTGAATAATGGAAATAAACAGTATGTCATTTGTTTTGACGGGGAAGATAAAATTTCATTTCATGGCTCACTCAGATGCCTCTCTAAAGCTGGAATGCATAGGATGGCAGTTCTCTCAGCAGGCAGCTGTCTGCTAACCCAGGCATCCTTGCAGCTGCTTGGCAGAACACATGATACACCAAACTCTCCACTTGGCCAGTAACTATCATACTGTGCATCTTTGGTTTAATGTCCTTGTGTATGGTAGAAAAAAAACAAAATTTTTGCTTAATCTTTGGTCATTGCAAAATAACAGTAATAATAATTCTGCCTGTTTAATTCTATAAACTTATATATTTGTAGCCATTATCACATATAGTATTTCTGGAGTCCAAAAATAAGCATTCTTTCATTCATCTTGTCAGGACAGACACCCGATTGATGCATCGATGGGTCATTTTCCAAGTTTAACAGAAAGACACGAATCCCTTCCTATCGTGATTGACAATTCCCTCCCTCTCAGTTTTCTTGTCCAATCAAAGTGGTTCAAATTGGTTAAGTCCCGCCCATATGACATGACGCTCACGCGGGCTTCCTGTGGTTTCTGGGCGCTGCTTGGTCCTCCGCACTGGCGCACGGTTTGTTTGATTTTAAGCAAGAATGAAAAACTTAAGTTACTCGGAAGTTACTTTTGGAACTTAAATACACCTTGCAACGTGCCTGCACCAGTTTATGAAGATAAAACGTGAGTTGGAGAAGAACCGTGTTTCTTTGGGCCTGTTTCTGGAGTACTGATAGTGAGTTGAACTAACAGTTAACGTTAGGATTGAAATGGACCAGGTCATGGAGGAACTGGGTTTAGATAGCAAGCAGCTTCAGCGTCAAATAGTTCACGAATGAAAGCTGTCTCTAACTTGTCTTCTTGCAACACTTTACTCTAATTTAAACGAAGAAAGTGGTGTAACGTTGGTTAGTTATTGGTTATTTTTTGGAGCGTGTGAGCGGTTTGACAAACCCACTTGTTTTTAGCAAGTAGCTAAGTTAGCTAGCGTGAAAAGTTAGCTAACCTAGCGTAATTAGCTAGTTAATTGCGCTTTGTTTGTTTTGTTGACAGGCCAAACTATATATAGTCGCGAAACAACAAAGTGTTACATGAACATATTCAAAAAAGTACGTATTTGTGTTTGCAGACAAGTACCTTTCTTCTGTGGTTTTCATTGTTGTGAGGTGCTATCAACAAACTGCTCATTCCTAAAGACACCCAATTCAAATGGTCCCATCCGTGCCAGTGTACTGTAAAGTTTGCACAAGTTATTGAACGTGTTTTGAGTTCTCAAAGTAATCGCAATCTGCCCTTTTATTACAGATTACAGATGGTCTGCAGCTGAGCTGAAATCAAGCCACATTTGGCTGTCACCCTCCTTCATTTAAAAACATGGCAGATAGTTTTTACAAATTGGAAGATGAAGCCTTCCCCAGTTTCCTCTGCAAGTCTCTGGACAGCACCAGTGGCCGCGCCACACTGGGGAATGTGACATTGGGTTCAGGCCCAGGACTTCCAGTGGCTGCCTCTACAGTGGCTAAAATTAGACCCGTGTCTGACAACAGGTGGGAGCATGCTGCTGCTTCGGACAGATGTGACTTATAGAAACACTCATGCATCAGTCTCTGAATCATCATACAGGCTCTTTGATTAATGCGAGAATGGTTGCTAAAATTATTCCAATTCCTGTTTTGGGAGGTTTTAATGTTTGTACTATTTTCAATATCTAAAGAAGTCTGTAGTATTGATATGCAAGTAATTGATAGTAATGTATATTAGAACAAAACATGGAGACATACCTGCCAAATGTAGAACTACATATGGATGTTAATAAGAAGTTGTTGTAGCTCTTTATCTGAAATTTACCAAAAAATGAACAGTGCTGAGTCAGTATTCAGTTGCTAAATTTAGTTCTGTAGCACTAACCATGGTGCACTGTTTAGTATCTTAACAATCGGTTGTTTTGTGAAAGCAGTACTATCTGTGCTTGCTTTACAGAGGAGATCCTGTTGAGGCGTCATATCTGGAGGGCAGAGAGCTGCAGCAGGCCAACTCACAGCCATCCGTTGAACAGCCCAAGTTTTCCCTCAGCTTTAAAGATGACTTGTGAGTATATACATACATGTAGTTCACACAGTGTTGTCGAAAAAATGCTTTATCTAATGTTTTGGTTTCTAGAATTGTTTTAGAGTTAACTGCCATACTTGTTGACTTCTGTTTGCAATATCTAAAGTAATGCAGATGATTTCACCTAAAAGCATTAGCCATGCTTTAAAGTATCAGCCCATGTAGGTTGAATTATTTCACTGAGTACTTTAACAGTTATGTACATTTGACAGAGGAAATCAGTTAGTCAATCGTAGTAAAACTGTGACAGCCTAATTGTAATATAGAAATATCTTTTTAAAGGGATTCCAATTTTGTGAACAATCATCATATCTAATTTATTTATATATATATATATTCCCCCCCCACCTTTTTCTATGTAATTTTTATGTGGTTGTAATTATTTGCATGACTAACCGCGTTACAGGGACAATGCGGATGACTTCATTGCAGCCCATCGTCTTTCAGACATGCTGGTAAAGATTAATCTGGATGAGTGCGCATCTAGAAACCAGAGCTCGATGGTGGGGCTTCCTCCCACACAGATGGGCTCCATCCATGGCCGGCCCACAGAGCTCGGAACAGGTAAACTCTCCTTTCTCCTGTACTGTGCCCGTACTGTCCCCATACTACCCTTTTTTTCTTTTTAATATTTTTATTGACATATTTTCATACCATACAAACTCCATAACAATCTGAACCCAAGGCCCAGTGCACACGCACACGCACACGCACACGTACACACACCCAGACCCAGTAACCAAAGAAAACTGGCTGACTCATCCCAACCATGTGTCCAGGACACACAAGTCAACAAGAACACACATCGCATATCATCCATGTCAAATCATCAGCTGCCATCTATCAATAGTGCAGGGCCAAAACAAAAGAAAATAGAAGAAAAAAACACAACAACAACATAACGATTAATATATAAAACTGTGGTCAGATAGAGTCCAGGTATTGCAAAAAGATATTTGTGCTTTCTGCTATACAGAAAAGAAACTACACATTTTCTTTGGATCATACTAATGGACTTTGTTTTCCTGACAGAGCTGTCAATGGGCCTGTTGACATTTGCCCAGTTTGGACATAAAGACAGTACAGATGCAAAGGTATGTGTTGAACAGTTGGTTTGTGTACCTTTTTATCTTGCAGTAATTTCCAACCCTAAAAGTCCTAACCTGGCTATCTCCAACAATGGTCCCCATACAGGTTCAGCTCTTACAAGCTACAGCTGACAATGTGGAGAGTGACGGAGTGGACAGTGACCGTTTCAGTGGCAGTAACTCAAGCTTCCTGGCAAATGAAAAGCTCATGTCTGTGGATAGCATGAACAGCGACATCACGGGTATGACTTGCATTCATCTTTCTTTTTTATTCCTGGATAGTGTTACATACTTATTACACTTTGTGGACTTTGTAGATTGCTGTCATGTTGTCATGTGTTTGATTCCCAGATGATGACATTGATTCGAACAACCTGCCTGATGACGAGCTGGAGCTGTATTTCAATAAGCTGGTGCCTCCTGCCATGCAAAGAGGCAGAGTAGAGGGCCAGGAGATTCCTGCAACAGTAAGACACTTCTCCCCTTGAACACTTTCTACTTGATCCTCTTGTTCCTGTAAACTTTACCAGCATTAATAAGCCATTAATTAAAAACAGTTTAATAGTAATGGTTTATTTCATTGTTCATAGGGACTGCAGGGTGCTGCTGATGACGTATCAAACCCAAGTTCTTCAGAACCAGAACATTATAGACACTACTTCCTTGATGATTACGATCAGGTGAGCATATTTACACCTTTACTGCCCCTGTGCGGTTTCCTGTTCATATGGTGAGATGCATACATTTATAAAAATGCTTTTCATGAATATCACCTGGGGGGAAAAAGGGGGTTTGGCAGGAGACCCCACTTGCTTTGACTTTAGTTCTAAAGTGGCCATCTTCTACAGTCTTCCTTGTCGGATTTATGTTACATTTCTATTTTATTTTCTTCTTTTAATTGCTTATCATAGTTTTTACATTTGTTACTGAATCTTGTGTACTGTTTTTCTTCAGGGGGACTTCCAGATGCCAGATGTACGTCTGGCGGCCACAGGTATGGACTCCTGTCCTGCCAGTGATGAGGACACTGAGGATGAGCTGGAGTCTGCCAGGAGGAGCAGCAATGCTACCAGAACACGGCTTCTGCCCAGTACCTCCAGACAACTGGTCAGAAATAGCAAGCAATATTGTTATACGATTTTTAAAAAAATCTCAAATGTAATTATCAGTATCGGCCTCAAAATTTGAGTGTTGTTATTCTTATAAAAATATATTGTACAACAGAGTTTTTGCTTTATGTAGTTTATTCATTTATGTGTGTCTGTACGTGTTGGTACAGGTTGGAGAGAGTAATCGTCCCAGTTTTAGGCCGGGCTTAGAGGGAGGCAGTTCTGATGATGAGGCCTCCAGTGGCCGTGGTGGTCTATCTCTGTCTGGGATTGAACACAGACGATCTGCTGAGGGACAAGTCATCAACCCTCCGGTCACAGGTAGGGATGGGAATCGAGAACCTGTTCTTCTTCAGAACCGGTGCCCAGTGAATCGATTCCGTGGAACCGTTAGCATGCCTGCTTAACGATTCCGCTTATAGGTTCCGCTCGTTGCAAATGCGTCATGACGTCACACACGCTGCGTTGTTTTGGTTCAGAACGCAGCAAACATGGCGTCGAGGCAGAACCGCTCTAAAGTTTGGTCATTTCACACGAAAAGACGACAATACGGTCACTTGCAACACTTATGGGATATATGTTGGTCATTTTAATGTCGATTTTAAATGCTCTTACACACTTGTTTACGTTGCTGCTTTAGTCCGGTCACCAATTTATGCATTGCACGGTGTTGCTGTGCGTGCAATACAATGTAAAGTTTTAAAATTACTTGAAATGTTAGTGTTTCTGTAGAAAAACATATTATTATTATTATTTCACATTGAGCTTGTTTAGATGAGCCACAAACAATAACAACACAGCTGCTGCACTGGTGGCGTCCATGTTCTTTCCGACTCGTAATGCCCAAAGACAAATGGAACGCTAGAAGTCCAATCCAATCCAATCCAACTTTATTTGTTAAGCACTTTAAAAACAACCAAAGTTGACCAAAGTGCTGTACAGGAGAATAAATAGGACATCATAAATGTAAACAGTGATGATGATGATGATGAAGACCACTGTGAGGAATATAGACAGTGATGGTACAAGCCATGTAATTACGTCACATTCTTGCGTCAGAGCAACTCGGGCGGAGGATTTACGAGCTAGCTAGCATGCTGCCTTTGATTTACTATGGCTATGGTTATATTCGTACAATACAATTAACCCAAATAGGTTAATAGCAATGGGTTATGTATTAAACCCCCCCCCTCCAAAAAAAAGAAAACTCCCATATTTTAAAAAATTAATGTTGGCAAGTATGTAGTAGCCATTCAACTGAAGTTGTTTTAAGCAAGATTATCCTGCAAGATGTTTCTTTTCAACTACATGCAAGTTCCCTGTTATAGACTAACAGTATTATAACAAGCAATATTAAAAATATCCAGTTTATTCCTGTTAATTCCTGTTAATTCCCATATATTCCTGTTAATTCCCATGGAAAGTTTACAACTTTGAAAATTCCCGGAATTTTGCAACCCTAATTAGATATTAAAGCGAGTTAATACAAACAAACAAATTTGTACTTATTCCCTCACCCAATGAGAATCGATAAGAGAATCAATAAGGAATCGGAATCGTTAAATTCTTATCAATTCCCATCACTAGTCACAGGTGCAATATGCAGCTCAAAGATTCCCCTATTTATTTGTTTTCTTTCTTTTTGGTTCTCTGTCTGGTTTTCCTGCTTTTTTGATATTTCAACATTATTGCATATAAAGGCTTGATATGCATTTAACAAGGAGCAGGTCCATGGTCGTTTTGAGGCAATGTTAATGTGACTAACTGTTTTGTTGCTTGTAACTCCAGGGGATGGAGGAGGTGGCGATGGGAGTAGTGGGAGTGAGGAAAGCGGAAATGACGGTGGAGTCTCAACCATCCCTCTCCCAACGACTAACGCCCAGACCACCTATGATGTCCTGCGCGGGCTGGGGATTGTGGGTAGCAGTGCTGTTGGTGAAGATGAGGACGCCGAGCTGCATAATCTGCCAGGACATGGAAGGAACAGTCTTTCCAGACATACTGAGGTAAGAATGAGGCTTTGATAAATGCTGCTTTAATAATGATAATTCTAGCTGTGTTTGAGCTTTCATACACAGTTTTGTTCACATTGAAGATATTGTACACATCTAGTTTTGTTTGCCCTCATAATGTAGATTTTATGACACACTGTTATTTTATAGTTAAACATAAATAGTTTTTGTTAATCTGCTGCTTGCAGATGGGTGACCGTGTGGGTCCTGTAGGAACAGGAGAGACAAGCTCCTCTTTGGGGGCATCAGGGGGAACTCAGAGGCTTTCTCCCATCAACTGGAGCATGGTCCTGGACCGACAGGAGGCATTGGTGAGTACAGATGCATAACCACTGTAATATAACTGTAACAGTCTGCTGGTGGGTATTAATCAGGCCACTCTACGTATATATTTATTTTATGATCACTTTTCAAAAGTTTGCGATAAACAGTTTGTACTTCTATTTTAAGGGTAAATGGTGGACCATCCACAGTCCAATCAATGAATGTGCTCTATGTTTGTTATTTAAAAGTTAGAACTTTAGGGTTTTATGTACGACTTTTAAAAAACATGAATGTTTGTTGAAATTAAAACTGTGTGTAAGTTGGTGAGAAACTGTTTGTGTGCCTCTTTTATACAGAGGACTTTTAGTCCTGATGTGTTTTAAGTATGTTATAATACAAACCCTTCTATGCTTTTGCCACTTACATGATTTGAGTGAAACATTGATTAACTGTTGCACAAACAAGATGTGAAACACTGCACAATGAGAACACAGAAAAAAAGTAAAAGCTGCAAGGGCTAAAATACTAATGTATATGATGAGCTTTAAAGGGTCGGTTTTTCAATGTGGCTCTGATTTAAATGCCAGGATGCAATGGAAAGCACAGAGTCTGGGTCCACTAGTGACCGACTGTTGGACTCGGTCTACCTAAGGAGTGGAGCTGGACTCAGGAGACCTCAGAACTCTGCAAACCTAACTGCCTCCCACCTTCAAGGCACCCAGGGGAGCTTCCACCTCTCTCAGGTACAATAACGGGGACAATCTGGGTTTTTTGACACATTTTAAAATAAAATTGAGAGGTAAGATAGTACCTGAACAAATTTAAATTTTTATGCAGCCTATATACTTTTGTCAACCAACCCACCCTCAGGTTCTGCTCCCAGAATGCGATGATGATGAAGAAGAAGAAGAAGAAGAAGAAGTAGATGAGCCTGATGGTGCCCGGCCTTCCTTGGGATTAAGGGGTGGGCCTTGTGGTGATGTGACTGGTGCAGAGGCTTCAGGCAATACCAGTGAGGATGATAACAATCCTCTTTCCACCTCCCTGGAACCCAAGTATTTCTCCCAGAGCTTCCACCAAGAACAAGAAGATTCAGATGATGGGTGGAACCATTGCCCAGAAAACCTGGAGCTGGAGTTTCAACAAGGTTGGCTTTATCTTTGGTGTTTACATCAGACATCTACTGTAGATAGTAGGTGATACATATTGGTGCATGGATATATTAACAGCATAGCTTGTGTCTTCAGGTGCCAATGCCACTCAGAGCGTGGTCTACCAGAATGAAGAAGGGCAGTGGGTGACAGACCTGGCATATTACTCCTCCTTTAAGAAAGAGGTTGATGGGAAGACATCAGAGAACGTTGGCCAGTTTCAGACTGATGACTTTGTTCCTTTGAGTATGTTCCAAGACCACAGCACTATAGTAATACAATGAGATTGTTGTACTGTAATCTTTTTGTCTGCAAAATACTGTGAATAATTGAATGGCCAAATATTCCTTTGCAGGTGATGCTATGGATAAGATAGTAAAGGATCAAGAGGAATTTGAGAAGGAGCACCAATTCATGCAGGTATACAACAGTCCCCCTTTTTTCCTTCATGTTTTGATATTTATTGATTGATTTTTATTTTATTTTATATATACATTAGAAGACATTGCAGACTACTTTGAACATACTGTTCATTGGTTACAGGATACTAAAAATAACCTAAATCCACTTGGGTTACAGTGTTGGTCAGAACATAAACAAATTAATGCATGAATGTGTTACAGCCATTTTATGAGAGAAGATGCTAACAGACACCTGGAACTCTTAGCGTGTTGTGGTTTATTTTTGAGTATTGTTGTTCACACAGGAGGAGAAGATTGAACCAGCCAGCAGCAACAGCACCTTTCATAGTGACTCATCTTGGAAAATCCCCTCCAGCAACCACATCCTGATGAGGGCTTCCCAGGTCTCCTCACAGTTAAAAGAGGGGGACCAAAGTTACCTGCGACTGTCTTTTGGGCAGTTTATTGGACAACGCTCTGAAGCCATGGGCTGTCTAGGCAGCACTGATGATGTGGATGGGATTAAACGGGTCTGTAAAACTACAATCTTAGGCCTGCTTACAGAAATGTAATACAAAACAATGTACCTTCTCTCCATCTCCTTGGGAGGATATTAAGAGTTCATTCACATATAAAGCTGTGGAAGGGATGTGCATCAACATTGACATGCAGCTAGTGTCTGATTACTGACAAGCTCTAGCTGTTAATGTGCAGGGGATTTTTTTGGTTGGCAGGAGAGACCCAGGAAATAATTATGACAGGGCTGAATAGGATTGTGTTTCAGCTAATTTTCTAATCAAGTTTGTACAATGGTGAAAAGTTGAGATTGCATTCACTTGCCTTTCGCCTGAGTGGGAACTGTAACATGTATTAATAATTTGTTCTTTGTTCTTCTAGCCGTCGTTTGGCTACATCATTACCTCTCCAGAGAAGAGGGAACCATTTGCTCTAATTCACCCCTCAGAGTTCTCGCCTCACAGTGACACCATGGAAGTCAGTGAAGCAGATAAAACTCTCAACCCAGGTGTGCTCCCAGTATTGTAGAGGCTAAATAATTATTTTCTAGTTTCATATAGCAGTGCCTGATCTTTTCTGTGTTTTGCTTATTTTAAAATGATTTGCTCTTTGCTTTTCTGACTGTTACTCATGGTCTTGTCCTTACAGATGACCTGGACAAAACTCTTGAGGCTCCAGGTGAAAGAATGTCACCCAAAGGTGATACTGATCCAGAACCATGTAAACAGGAGGTACAGGGACCTATTTAAATATTGATATTTTAATATCTCATTGTAGGATTACTTGCACAGCTGTATGGCTTTCTAACATAAAATCACTTCTCATCTTTAGGACCATGCTGTTCGAGCTGCACTGCCTGATCACACTGAGGGTTCTGGCTCTGAGTCAAGCTTGGGTAACCAAAGCTGCGTGTCCCCCGACAATAACAGCAGCCATCTGATGCTGAGCATCAGCACGATTGCTTCAGCCATTGCTGATGCGTCTATCAGCACTGACCCATCACAGCTGGCTGCCATGATCATGGAGCTGTCCAAGAGGAGTAGGGTGAGGAATCGACCTGAGTCCGCAGGACCTGTTGGACCTGAGGAACCACACTCAGCTGAACATGTAAGGCTTTTTTTTAATATATATATATATATATATATATATATATATATATATATATTACTTACATTTAAAAATGTTAAGTTGGTCATTACCAGGCATTGCAAAATTGCTTGAAGTCTGAGTTCATATTTTTTTTCTTGGGTTAGAACATAAACTGATCTTAAATGGTTTAACACGGGACTAGTCCTCCCATCCTCACATTTCATATTAGGGAATATACTGTTCCTTTTTCTAAGTTTAAATAAGTATCTCTCACTAGAATAAGCACAACAAAGTATAAACATACTAAGAATTCCTTATATATAAATTCTAAGAATGTACTTTTTCGTGGTGTTTTGAGGGATCTGCAACAAAAAATCATGAAATTGTGACCTCTGAACCTTTTTTTAAATGTTCATCTTAAAATGAACCTTTAACATAAAGAGTAATGTTTTACCCTCTACATAGATCCTCCCAGAGCCTTATCAGAGCATCTTGGACACACTGCAGAGAAGCACCTGTGTTGGAGAGCTGAGTGCCTTCAACATGGAGAAATACCTGAAAACAACTGATGTGTCAGGCAGCAGTGATGCCTCTGTTGCCCAGACTACCTTTGACCTAACCGGCTGGGCTGATAACCTCAACAGCTCTCAAAGGAGCTATCAGGCAGGATATCCTGAGGAACAGGGGAGCTCAGGTCAGCGAGTGGACAGTGATACTCAACAGAAGCTCACAAGTACCAAAACGGAAGAGAAAGACAGGAGAGGAGAGACAACATTAAACACTAATTCATCTATAGTGTGTCTTTCAAATGCTTTATCACCAGGTCATAAGGTTGACTCAAAAAGAAGCTCTATTCCTCGTCCTCGTACATCTTCCAGCTCTGCCAGAAGGTCTGTGGCCTCAGAGCAATCTTCCACTCTCAAGCCCCATGCAGACAAAATGGCAGTGTTTAATAATGCTGCTTCTGCCACAAAGACTTGTGGTTCCTCAGGCAGGGCCCTCACAGAAGATGGAGTCAAGCCAGGAGAACTAAACCCACAAGCATCCAACAATATTAGGTCTTCCTTAGAAACATCACAAAAGATGGATAAAAGCTCTGCCTCCCCTGGCTTGCAGAGAACCCCGCCAGGTTCGAGGAAATGGCAGTCAGGCCTGCCTTCCTTTAGAGGTTCCTCTCCTCCGCTGCAGAGGGTGAGGAGTGGAGGCCAGCAGCAGCAGCAGCAGCAGCAGCAGCAGCAGCAGGACAGACCCAGTAATTCCCCTGAGAAGAAACTACCACCCAGGAATATGGCTGCTCCACTACCCCGTAGCTCTGTGGAGAAGCATGTTGGCTTCACTCAGCCTCCCCTAGACCCTACATCTAGTAAGTAAAAAAAAAAAACAACAGAAATATGGTTTCTGATTTAAACACTACACATGCAACAGTTGTCTGTACGGTGATTGACCATATTCAAACAACTATTGTACATGATAATAAGGCATTGCCCTTATATAATGAGATGACATGAACATTTGTGTTAACAATTGTTTCTCAGAACTGCCAAATGGTTTTCCCGAGCCATGTGTAGAGGAGACACAGTGTAACTTCAGACCGTCCACTTCTCCACTTACTCACTCCTCTCCAAGTCAGACCTCCATTCCTAATGCTGATGGGTATTGTATCACACATTGACTCTATGAATCAGTAGTATTGAATATTAGTATTTATTATCGAATAGCAATCTTTTTGGCTTCAAATAAAATTCTAAATACCAAAATGTATTGTGATTGCTTGACAAGAAAGGAAGTGTCACATTAGTCTTGAATATTCACTCTGTTGTCTACTCTGGTATAATTTATGTTTCCATTGTTGAGCTGATGCACATTACCACTGAAGGACACAGGGCATTTGCATATTGAGTCATTATTAATTATTACAACTTTGTTGTCTTGTTTTCCCAGTATGGCGTCACCTACGTCGTCCAGTGGACATCTGGCAGACAAACATCCAGGTCTTGACCTCTCTCCTCAATCTACCTGCTCCAGCCCTAGTCTCAGCAGGCTCACATACATTTCAATGAATGACGGGACTGTCATACCTACACCTCAGAGACAAAAGGTACGGTAGGACAAAGTCTTAGTAATGTTGGCTGCAACAGCACTGAAAGTTTAATTTTTGTTGCAAAAAGATCTGTTAATTATGAGTGTGGTTTTTATTGTCTCTGGTTGTATTGCCCTCCACAGAATAACTGTACCATGGCACTGAGCACCACCATCATCAGATTCAGTCCAACTCCACCTGTGGAACCAGATAACCAGTCTAACCTCGATATTCTTGGTCTGCCCAAAAGTCTGGACCAGGTGCAACCACAGCATTCTAAAAGTTTGGACCCCCTACCAGCACATCAGTGTCAAAACCTGGAGCCCTTGTGTAGCGGCTCTGCTTTGAGCTGTACTCGCAGCCAAAGTGAATGTAACTACCACTGCCCCAGGGACAGAACTGCTGATCTTTCAGCAGGTTGCAGGAACCACAAACACCTGTCTGAGTCTAGTGTAAGACAGCTCACTAAAGTGGACTCGGGCTATTGCAGTAATCTGAACATTCAGCAAGCTAGCAGCGCTGCAGCTCCTCAGAGCTCTCAGCAGTGGGGAGCTGCTAGCTCAGTGTCATCTTCGGTGTATGCTGGTGGTCTTGGCATGCCTCCGTCCTACTCATCAGAGGGACATCACTATGTGCCCATCCCCAGCTTCAAGCCCCAATGTGCTGGCTTGATTGACCTCCCCCACCAAGGGGAAATGCAGTCCCTCCTCGCAGGACACTCCATCTTCAACTCCCAGCTGGCTCAGCAGTATTTAGGACCTGAAGCTCCATTACATCCTCGTGCTTATCATGTGGGAGCAACAGGAAATGGTCTTTTTAGTATGTCCTCTACAGGCACGTCTTTTTTCCCTACTTTCATAGATAAAGGTGCTGAGCTATATCTGAAAAAAAACTTAATGATGCAACATCCTAAAATATAAACATGTTAAATTGATTCTGCTTCCTTTTTTTCCCCCCAGGCATACCCAACGGTGATCTCACAGTGAGGCACGTCCATCCCACACCAGGTCCTCTGGGGATTTCTGGGACTGCTGTGTCCCATCACCTCCCAAGACCCCATCAGAGTCAGCAGGACATGGGGATGATGGGAAAACCCTACGGTCAATATGGCACAGAGCCACTGGTGGCAGGTGGTCTTGAGGAACTGAGAGGTAGCAGTGGTCTTGGTGTTTATAAGAAAGTTACCTTCCTTTACCCATTATAATATACTGTGTACATTAGGAAAAAATGCTATGACTACTGTAGTGAGATTAGACCATTAACATAGACTGTTGTTGTTTTGTTTCTTCATACTTTAACTAATCATATTGGTGGGCAAAAGTCAGTCAGATACTGGGAGATAATAATTTTCTTGTGCATAGCAGAAAGTTGCAACAGGCAATTTAACTCTGAATTTATAATTGCTGTAATCAATTATAGTGTTGAAGTCTTTGCATCTCATTGTCTGTCTCATTGTCATCACGTACAATAAGTACATTATTTACCTCTTCTTCCACATGGATAGGCAGCATTTCCCTCTACCAATCCCCTTTCCATTGTCATCCTCAGGCCAAGTGGTGGTGCCAGAGGAACTGCGGTTCCCTCATGCCTGCTGTGTAGGCATCGCCTCACAGACCTCCCTCAGCCTCTTCAACCCCTCTGAGAGATGGCAGCAAGTGTCAGTCACTGTCACCAGTCTGGCTATTGATGGAGAGAAGGTGAGCAGAAAGCACAGAGTGGTGACTAATTATTTTATAGCGTCAAAGCACAGATCATGCTAAAAGTATTTTCAAAATTGGGTTTAAAACCCTTAAAATGTCACATTGTGATGCAAGGGGCTGCTTCTAATTATCAGGCTAAACCAGCTGACAACACTCCTTTCATAATCACCTTTTCTTCTGTCTTCCATACCAATCCCTACAGGTGGATACCTTGCCGTACCAGTGGCTTATAGTGAAGAACAAGACAATCATTGGCCCTAAGACTACAGAGGAGCAGAAGGTGTTGTTCATTCCTCCACAAGCTGGTGTCTACCAGTGTGTCCTCAATGTTTGCTCCTGGCCTGCATCTGCTGAGACAGAGGTTGCTGCCAGGGCCAATATCTTTGCTAAAAGGGTGGTGCTGGTTGCCATAGCAGAGAATCCTGCACTAGAGGTGAGGGCCTGCGGTTCACAGATCACAATTGTCACCAAAAATAATCTGCTACATAAGAAATAAGGCAAAATGATAAATCTGTGGGTTAAAATTCATGTGAAGAGATGGTGTTATCAGGTATATCATGTAGAAGTGAAGTTGCTTATTCCCACCTTTACTGACTGACCTGTAAATAAAATAAATATGTTGCACAGAATGTAAGACAGAATCTTAAATTCATTTTTTTTCTCAGGTTGAAGTAAGCAAATCCGGCTGTTTGGATTTTGGAGACCTTCCAGGAGGAAGTGCCAAATCCATTCCTCTCAAACTGCTAAACAGGACTCATGCTACAGTACCCATCCGTCTGGTCATCAGTGCAGTGAGTCAAAATAGTACACTTCTACATATTCTTGGACCACTTAAAACACATACAGTATACAGATCCACAACAGTGATACAGTGACCTCCAGTGGCAGCTATGTGGTTTTTACATCATAGAACTGTGTAAGGCTAAAAGACAGGTGCATTTTGAAGTAGTTAAGCTAAGCATCAGAGATTTAAGACACCATGTAACCTGGCATACAATATGCCTTAAGTTCATCTTAAATTTTAACCCACATCTAAACTATTGACACAGCAAAGGCTAACAAGTGTTATTAGTGTTTTGACATGATGGAGAGTAGATCAAATACATCTCAAAATACCTGTAAACATGAAACGTTATTTAAAATTGTATGCAATTGGCCCTGAATCTAATCTAATAAATATCTCAGGTCTTACTGTTTCTGATCTAAATAAATTTGATGGTGTTGTAGGGGGGAAATAAAATTGCATTTTAACAGCACATCTTTCTTTTCTATGCAAAAAACACAGCAGTGAGCATAATAAGTAGTATGAGTGATTCACATTTTTCACATCTCATTTCTCCAGAACGCTACAGCATGGCGATGCTTCACCTTTTCCAAGCACCCTGTTACCATGACATCTGAGGCAACCCAGCAGTCTGGACACATGACCCCAGAGTCCTCTCCCTCGGTGATGAATCACGTGATGCATGCCAGCTATGGAGAGGTTAGAATTGCCAAAATCATTACGACCTTATTCAGCATCTCGGTCACTTAATGAATTAATTCCATGCTACATGTTTTTGTCTATATTAACTGTGGCATTCAGAAAAATCTGTGTTTTTTAATACAGTTTCACTGAGCCATTCTAATTCTCTTTCTCACCTATTGAGCTGTGAAACTGGCATTATCAGTCACGTGTTAATGTTTCCTTTTTTCAGAATCCACAGAGCTTCATGGTCTGGGTTCATTTCAAGGCCCCTCAGAAGTACTCCGTTTCTTCAGGTGATCAACTTGAATTGAAGGATGGCTAACGCTTTATGTAGCACTTTGTGGATTTTAACTGTTGGCACCATTTGTGCTAAAGGCAGTGGACACGTTGACTATTTAATTTGTTACTTAAGCTCTAATAATCTAAGAGACATTAGATTTTTACATTTACATTTGCCAACTGAAATAAAATCAAAAAACAAAACCCAGTTATTTTTTGGTAACACTAACTCTTTGTGGTTGTACTCGGCAGGAGAGCTTGGTCCGGCTGATGAGTACAGTGCTCGGGTGGACATTGAAGTGGACTCTCCCGGTCAAAGTCATGTGATCAGGAGTATTCCCCTTAGGGCCAGGTCTGGAACTGCAAGGGTTCATGCTCCTAAAGACCTGCAGGTAGTTAAACTGCCATTTGGCTTTTATTATTGTTTTGTTTGTTTGTATTCAGACTGATAGTGTTATTCCTCTCAACACTGCATTGCAAAGATATTGTTATGTATGTCTTGTTGAGATAGAGCAGCTAATACTGCACTGGCACAAATGTGACTGAAAATCATTGCACCAGCACAAGGTATCCTCAAAAGGATTGCTAATGTAAAACAAAGTAGACACACTATTGTGATTTTCAGTGACCAGTGACAATTAAGCTAATCAGTTACTGTAGATTTTTCAGTTTTTTTGTTCTCTTACTTCAAATCAAATCAAAAGGGATAAGCTTTGCTCTTGTTATTGACTAAGAGATACAGGCTTCAAACCAGCCACTTGTATTCAGCCAGTCATCCACACAATTCCCCAGTTTGTTCGTTAGTTAAACTTGAAGGTGAGACATTTTAAATTAATTGTAAGTAACAGTCTGTCTACATTGTTTCATATAATGTCAAAAGAGAAATGCTTGACAGAAAGTTTAACATAGAACTACTTTTTCTTTTATCATCATGTTCCATTCCTTGTTCAACTTTTCTTGGCCTTTGTAGAGTTGGCAGTCAACTGCTCTTTGTGCTTCTTTTGTCTAGACTGTCAGCCTGTCTGCTCCACTGGGTAAATCTAGTCAACAGATGCTGCCATTAAAGAATGCAGGAAACATTGACGTGCAGCTGAAACTCAAGGTAATTCTGACCTTTACTTTTCTTATTAGATCTGGGGTTTGAGTAAGCCTCTGTGACATTTTGGGCTCAGACTGTGGCACATACATTGGGAATTCATTGATATTTGGCTCCTGTTTTTCTTGTTTTGTCCATTTTCACCTTATTTCTGTCTTCTTTCTCTCACTTTCTCTCTTGTTTGCTCTCTTTCTAACTTTGTTTCTGTATTGCTCCTTCACAAATTCCACCTCTTCTCTCCTGGTTTCCCCTCTTCTTGCCTCACCTGCACAATATTTTGTGCTCTGTTTCTCCCTCAATTTCTTTTTTGTCTCTTCCCCCATGTTGCCTCCGAACATTCAACCGTTCTTTGCTGTTTCATCCCTACATTTGTCCTCTTCTTCTCACTTCTACTTCCTGTCATTGTCTTTCATTTCTGTTTACAGCACAGTGATGCTGAGGACAGTTTCTCTGTGACACCTGATGAACTGTCCCTAAGAGTAGGAGAAGAGCAAGGCATCATGGTCTCCTTCAGAGCACAGGGCAGCAGGAAATATCGAGAAAGGTATATAAAACTTTTTTTGCTTTTACATGTGCTTAAGTAGTTACTATTGTTTTTTTGCATTAACCACATTTTGTAAATGTCCCGTTAATGAGGAACCACAGTTGCAGCCACCCATTCCATAATGGGAATAAGATATTCAAGAAACCCAGTTAACACCTCCTAGAGTTTTGCTTGAAGAACATTTTGGCCGTTTGTATTGTGTAACCCACGTTTCTAACTGGATTTGTATGAAAGTGCCTTGAGACAGGAAAGTATAGTTGTCACAGCAGTGCAAAGAGACAACAGGAAAATTATAACTTGTAGCGTTGCAAAGAAAAACTAAAACAGAAAGTGACACCAACATTTTTTAAAAGTATGACTCGTCAGTCCATATTCTACCAAAAATGCATCATCTCATCCCACTCATATACATGAAATAGGTCAGCTCTGGTGTGGAAATTAGGCTAACCAGGTTACTGCAGTACATGTTGCATATTATGATTATTTTGACAGACATTATGATTGCAATATGATTCACAACACTCATTTTTGCATCAACATTTTTTTTTGTTCATTAAAAAACTGTTACATCCATGAAAATATGATGTGACATTAGTTGGGGTCTGTACCGAACAAACATGTTTTCTTACATCTGGAGAACAAGATTTGTTGTTGTATTACTTTATTAATCCCACAACGGGGAAATTCCCTTGTCACAGCAGCATTTACGTGAAATAAATAAATACAGATATAAAAAAACTATGGTAAAGTGGTAAAGCTATGGTATGCTGGTAATTTGAAAAACAGAAACTACAACATTGATCAGGTGTTGTAGAGTCTGACAGCGGCAGGGATGAAAGACCCTCGGAACCTCTCCTTCTTATACCGAGGGTGTAACAGTCTGCTGCTGAAGGAGCTACTCGGGGACCCCACAGTGTCATGTAGGGGGTGAGAGATGTTGCCCATGATGGATGTCAGCTTCACTAACATCCTCCTTTCACCCACTTCCTTGTAGGCCAGTACATATCTGCAGCACTACAGTACTTCATTATAATGCTGTGTTGTCACACATTGAAATTTTTCATCAAAGCTTCTGTGATTTGGATATTGCTATTTGGATAATATTTCCATTAATTGTGCAGCCCTGCTTGTGCTTGTTGTGTTGCAGCCTTCTCACCATCTTGGTGCTGCCATCAGGTCCTCAGTATGAGGTAACCCTGAAAGGAGAAGTCGTACAAGAGGACTCTGGGAAACCTGCCATTCCCTCTGCTGTCTTTGGTCCTGGTGTGGCCAATGATATTCCACCAATTCTCTCGAATAAACAGTTCGTAGCCTGGGGAGGGGTCACTCTAGGGCGAGCTGTGTAAGCAACTTTTCGTTTTTTCATTAATTTCACTACTATTCGGTTCTTTAAAAAAAAACACGTTTTAGGTATCAATTATTCATTGGAAACTAATCAATAAAAAAAACTCAAGGCCCAGTGTTCCACCGTATTCTATTAAGGCTTGTATAATGTTATTCATGAGAAGGGACAGAGGCTGTCTACAGGGATTGTTATTCCTCAGAAGGTATTTCAAGATAATGCACAATTTATTTACAGTCATTCAAGGGAGGTAAAGTACAGACAGCAGTAAGAAAGCTAACTCTCCCATAGGATTCTTTAAAGTTTAACTGGATCCAGGTTTAAATTTGCTATTCTACACAAATGAGGACATTTAGATTAAGACTCTCAATCTCAAAGCAAAGTTTGTCAAATGTATCAAGTTTGACACAGAACTCATTCACACTGTTATCACCAACAGCCACCATTGTTTTTCAGCCAACAGAAGCTGGTTTTAAGGAACAACTCGACTAACACCACACAGCAGCTACGGCTGCTTATTCGGGGTCAAGACCAGGACTGTTTTCAGGTACAGTTTAATATTTGCATATTTGAAAACTGAACATGGTATGTTAGATTTATATCAGAGTATCCATACATCTTAGTTTTGTTTTGGGATCACCTGCAGAGTTTATTTTCATTTCTATACTACCTTATGTTTGTAATCAGCGATCCAAGTATTTATGACTAAATGTGGTTTTATTTAATCCGATTGTCTTTGTACAACCAGTTGGATCACACAGATGCATGTAGCTAAAACCAGATGAAGAAGAGGCCTTAGATGAATACATTAATGTTGCATTAAAGGAGTATTTCACCAATTTAGCATACGATCAAATGTATAATTAACGAGTATGAGGTAACCCTGAAAGGAGAAGTTGTCTCAGAAGACTGTGGGAAACCTGCCATTCCCTCTGCTGTCTTTGGTCCTGGTGTGGCCAATGATATTCCACCAATTCTCTCGAATAAACAGTTCGTAGCCTGGGGAGGGGTCAGTCTAGGGAAAGCTGTGTAAGCTACTTTTCAGTTTTTCGTTTATTTCAATACTATTTGGTTCTAGAAAAAATACTTTTAGGCATAATTTATTCACTGGAAAGTAATCAATAAAATTACTCTGGGCCCAGTGGTTTTTAGGAAACGAGATCATACCTTTTAATCACATAGTATCAAAAAACTTGATAGACTTACTGACAGGCTAGTGTGTGAAATCGGGAGTTCCTCTTTTACAGGGTTCAAATTTGTCGCCCTTTCTCCTGACATTCTGCAATTTCTCGTCTAATAAAACAAATTCTATGAAACCATAATAAATCATTTGACTAATTGCTTATAATGTCTACACTATTCAAATGTATATCATCATTTAGTATATAAACTTGTCTCTCTCAGCTTCAGAGTATGTTCAGTCCCGAGGAGCGTCTGACCCGACATGGGGAGCTGTCCATTCGTCCCAGAGAGGACGTGACCGTCCACCTGCTCTTTGCTCCCACCAGGGTGGCCTGCATGTTGGCCAAGCTGGAGATCAAACAGTCTGGAGTCCGGCCTTCACAGCCAGGGGTCAAGTTCACTGTGAGGATGTGCCCATTTCTCTCAACTCTCTTGCTTGTAGTCCTTCATCACTTTGCATTTCTCTCTCTTATCCTCTACACATTCTCACTCCTGCCTCATTCTCTCTGCCGTTTCTTGGCCAAGTTTTCTTATTATCTATTGAAAGACTTGGGCTATAGTTTAGTTTAGCTCCTATATTTCCCACCTTCAGATTCCACTGTCGGGCTACGGTGGGACCAGCAACATAATCCTGGAGGACCAGAGGAAACAGGCTGACGGCTATGTGGCGACACTGACCGACATAGCTGTTAGTCGTGTCAGCAAAGTTTGTCTGTGCGTGAGGAACACTGGCTCCAGAGCAGCTTTCATCAAAGCCATAGTCTTCTCTGATGTGCAGAAACGATCAGTTATGGAACCGTCTGTCGTCAGCCTCGCCCCGTCACAGTTTGTACTGAAGGAAAGGACACAAGAGGTAGGAGAGGGGATACAAGTAATGTGAATCACACTGTAGTTCAGAAAAGTGCTACACAAGACAGTAGATTTTATTATAAATATTTGTGTGTGTTTTCAGGTGATCACTGTGCTAATGAAGTCCACCAAAAGAGAACAGAATCTGTGTCAGTCAGCCAATGCACTGCTGGCTACTGTCTGTCTGTTTTGTGGAGATGAAGTCTCCAGGCAGCAGTATAGGAGGTGAGACCTTAACTTAATCCTAAGTATATTTGTTTTATGCTATTTAAAAACAGTAATGTTAGCAGGTATGGGGATTCGTAGTGGATGGTTGATTTAAATCTGAAAAAAGATTAATACAAAGCCCTGATGTAGTGAAAATGTCCTTTTTAAAAATAATAATTTGAATCTCTCTGGATTTAATTGATTGTATCAATGTCACTTAGCATCTTTAGGCATGAAAGTACTGTTATGTGCTGTAATGGCAAATGTAAATTAACTTCACTACTGTGTAGGCTCTTGCTGTTTGTTCCCCCTACAGTGTGTTTGTGTTTTCTTCTTTCAGATTGCTTCAGAGCAAACCAGAGGCTGCAACAAAGGCTCTGTCTGAGAACAGTCTGCTGAAAAACATAGACTTTAATGAGAAGTTCCTGGGAGAAGAAAATATTACAGAGAGTAAGATATTATTATTATTATTATTATGATTATTATATTTGGTCTCCTCTCAAAAACAGCAGAGTTTGAAAGCTGATCTGAAGATTTAATTATTTTGACCTTCAACTAAATACTATTTGAAGTGATAATCTACAGTAAAATAATGGAAATAGCAGACTAAATTTAAAAAGGTTGTTGGAATAGATGTCTCCAATTTTGCTAGCTCTAACTAAGAATTTACCCTTTTTATAGCTTATGACCTGCCCCAGCGGCCCAATGAAGCTCACATCTTCTATGGAAACATGAGTAAGATAGTGGTGTCATTGCTGGGAAGTACAAAGAGCACAGACTGTGAGCAGAGCAACCACACTGAGCTGCTGCTGCCCTCTGCCAGACACAGTTCAGAGACCGACAGGTACTGTCAGAAATATTTCTAACTCACTGTAATATACTAGAACCTGGTTCATTGAAATGCCAGCCTTCTGAATACGCACAACACAACAGATACATTTAATACAAACAGATATACAAAAATCAATTGCTAAACAGTATTTATCAGTATTGTAAAGTCAGTTATATATGATTGGTTGTTTTTAGTGTACATTCAACGTAATACTACATATGCACTCAGTAAAAGCTAAACTCTTAGACTAGGTCTGTACGTTTTTTTTAATTTTTTTATAGTGAACACATTTTGTTTATTTGTCTGCGTAAGTCAACACAATGTACGGTTTAATGTTATTGTGTAATTCCCAGTGGTTTGCCAAATGGCAACGTGTCTCTGGACGTGCTTCCAGTGAAAGGTCCCCAAGGTCCAGCACTAAGAGTAACAGAGCCCTCCTTAAAGGTACCATAAGCACTTTTTAATGGACTTCCAATGGTTTCTTGTGTTGACTGATGATATTAGACTTTGTTATGTTGGTGTTGTTTCAGCTGGATGAGATGAAAACATTTGTTTCACTGCATTTGACATTAAAAGATATGCATTTTTCAATGCAGAATGTCTGTTTTTTTTCCCCCCCAGGCGTCAGAGCCATTACACAGGCATTCTGAGTCCTGGACCATCCATCCAGAACAACTTGTCCTTGCAGCTCCCACCATCAGTGAGTAGAATCTAGATTTCAAAAGCACATTATGTGAACTTTTATCACCTTAGAGTTGAATTCAATTGCAGAGTTTCAGTATGGTTGTTGTAAGCAATCACCTCCAAACCATTAGTGAATAACTTCAGTAGCCAGCAGTCCACATGATGTTGTTGTTGCTGTTTTTAGATGGTACAGCCACCACCAGTCAGGCTAAGATCCGGAACAATACATCCAGAGAGCTGAGGTTTGATTTGTCCTGGCCTGCTCACTGCCTTACCATCACCCCTCAGCATGGAGTTATCGAGCCTCAGTAAGAATACACTTGGTTGTTCAATGAAATATATTGGCTAAAGTCACAGTTTTTGGGTTAGAATTAGACCCCACGTTGTTTGTTGGATGTCTTTCTGTGTATTGTTCTGGTTTTATTTGCAGTTTCCAGACTGTAAATGATGATATCACAACCTCAAAATAAATGTAGTATTTACGAGTGTCATCATAGCTTATTAAAAGAACAATTACAGGAAGAAGGTCCATCATAATTGATGTGACTGAGTATATATGTGATTTTAATTATTCCACTTATTTCTTAATTATTGTTAACCAAGGTGCCACCTGCAGATTTTGATCAGTCCCAACCCTTCACTAGCAAATAAATCTGCCTTGCTGCCATGGAGTGGACAGATTTATGTCCAGTGTGACGGTCAGCAGAAGGTATGAAACACTCTAACTTCTCTAGAGGTTTGAAAAAAGCTTCTTGTCCAGTCATGCACCTTGTGTTGTGAGAACTAAACAAGAGCTCAACATGTGCAATGTGATTACTGCTCCAGTTTATTAAGGTCCAGATTCGTCGGGACCTGGCTCTGGATGTGTCTGCGTCCCCAGCAGACACGACCCTGTCAGCCCTATCCCCGCAGGTTGCCACCCCTGTGCTTCCTGTGGCCAGGCTCACTACCAAGCCCTCGCTACTACCACAGACCCCACAGGCACCTCAGGCCCTGGTGGCGATCAGCAACAAGACAATCATGTTCCCCACCACTCCCTCAGGGGAAACGTCAGGTAGGGAGCTGACTTTCCAGAGCACAGAAGTTGCTCCCAGTACATGAAGTCTGAGTGTTAGTGAAAAAATATTTCCTACCTGTTGTTGGGGTTTTAAGTCAGCGCCTGTAGGCTAAAACTTGCTTTTCTCTCCTCTGCTTCAGAGGCCCAGCTGGAGGTGCAGAATGGGGAAGTAGAAGTGAGGTGGTACCTGTCATCATTTGCCCCTCCTTATGTCAAGGTGCCTTTTCTTTCTTTCTTTCGTCAACTCTTTCATTCCAGTTTACGTTTCTTTGTTGTTATCCCTCCTCTGGGAACAAATGTTTTCATTTATTTTTCTTTTGAATTTAGTTTATCTTAGTGTGTAAGTGAAGCTAAATTCTTGTCCTCTGTCTCATGACTCACTCAGTAATGAGTTTATTTTGTAGGCTCACACTCCTGATGTTGTTTTAATCTTGTTGTTCGGTCTTGTTGCTGGCCGTTGTGTGATAGCAGTGACTCAGGTCAAGCTGTGGTCTGTCTCTCTCTCTCTCTCTCTCTGTCTCTGTCTCTGTCTCTCTCTCTCTCTGTCTCTGTCTCTGTCTCTGTCTCTGTCTCTCTCTGTCTCTGTCTCTGTCTCTCTCTCTCTATCTCTTCAGGGGGTTGACAACACTGGAGATGTGTACCGGGCCACTTACACTGCTTTCAGATGCTCCAGGGTCTCAGGCACTCTGGGAGCCCATGAGAAGATGCAGGTAGGAGCTCACATCCAACTAGATGAATCAGTAGTGGGAGCAATCAAAAACAAATCTGAATATAAGGAAAACATAATCGCCATAAACCATTGCAAATTAGAATAGCATAATATGAAATGATGATGATGATTTGATTGATTGAGTGACGAGTGGGACTATATATATGTGTATATATATATATATATATATATATATATTTTTGTGGTAAAAACATATTTTCATACATGATACTGTGGCTCCCAAGCACAGGTACAGTAACAACGTTTATCACGGTACTGTTCCATTTAGGTGTGGCAGTTAGTCAGGCCAGTGAGACTGTATACACAGTTCCAGGGCTTGGCTGGAAGACCATTATTTGAGACCCAGCTTTTTATGTGAGAAAATACAGTATCAGGCCTATACTAGTGGCACAAAATAAACAGAAAATACAATTTAAATCATTAATCGCAATTATTTGTATGACAATTAATCCTCAACTATAGTTTCATCCCTAGCAGAGCCCTGGATATGGTATATCTAATAGAATACAGCCATTATTATAATTGATGGGTCTATAGGTGAGCTATATCTACTGTTTATTACACTTTAAAACCTTGCAGCAGTAAAACTGTTCCGAGTTAGTTGGTTGCCCTCTAAAAACATCTAGGAGTATGATGTGCATTTACACGGTTCAATACGTTTCGATTGTTTCGTCTAATGTTTTTCTTGCTCTTCTAGGTGCCCATTACTTTCCTGCCCAGGGACAGAGGGGACTATGCCCAGTTCTGGGACTTAGAGTGCCACCCCGTGTCTGAGCCGCATCAGAAAACCAGAATCCGCTTCCAGCTCTGTGGCACCGTGAGGACTCATTTATTAGTTCTGTTGCCTGGGATTCAAACACCATACTGAGAGCAATTGTGCTTCTGTAGTGCAGGAGATACATACACTGGAAAAGACATTCACTTTTTTCATGTTATGATTTACTGTCAAAACCACTTTGTAACATTTACTTTACTGCTACTGCCTTGTTTTTTTTTTTTTTATTGGTGGTGTCTTATACTCACATCCCATAACTGATTACTAAAGTACTTATCTTATTATATAATTCTCAGTTTTGTTATACTCCTAAAATAGTTAAGAGTATCATTACAGTTTTTTTTTGCTCTCTTTAACCATGCTTATTTAAACCTTAATGAAGTGCATTCCTCTTACTTGTGCATTGTTTTACGTATTTATATTAGGCAAACTTTAATCTACCATCTTTATCAGACTAATTATGTGCAACAAGCAGTTATATACACTCACTAATTAACTTGTTTCGCTCTCAAACCATACCATGTTTACATGACCATTGCTCACTGGGGGCAATGCTCACTTTAAAGCATCAGCATTAGAAAACCCCCCCAGCCCGTATGACAGTAGTAGTATGACTATAGCTTTGGAGTGTTGGTGACAGAATTAACAAATGAGAAAAGTGGGTTGTGGGATGGTAAGGAGAGCCACCCTGCTGAGATGGGCCTGCGGGCTTTGCGTGTGTGCCGCTTTAATGTGAAATGTTATGACAGACCCAGTTAACTTAAGAGCATACATACACAGCAAGTGGGATGTCAGATAGATGGCTCCACATAAGTAGGTTAAGTGGCTATGATGGTAGTGCTTCTGTTGTTGTTGCCTTACTTCTTAGATGTAGTGTTAAAGTGGAGTGCCAAACCCTTCAGTGGTGTTAAATACTAATGTGTAGCTCAAATTTGCAAAACTTTGATTTACATATGTTCCTGACAGTCTGGTGTGTGATATGTTTGACATTTAGTTTTCATTATGTCTGCATGTGATTAGTAATAGATTTTATAACAATGTGTCACCATCAGTAACACAGTCTAATCGTTTGGGCATGATATACTTGAAAGATGGTGGAGGTTATTTCTTCTCAGTTGTATTGTACTAACTAGCAGCTTTGTAGTTGTACAGAGATGTAATGCAGCCATGTTTTGTTGCTCTTAGGAGCTTACTAGCCAAGATCCTAAAGTTCTGTCTGCGTGTTTAAAGGGATTAAAGTCTGGACCAGTGGAAGGACCACAGGAAGGAGACTGCTCTCTGGTGAAGACAGAGGCCACAGTCAAGACCAGGAAGAGAACTGATGCCTCAGCAGGCAAAACCAGGTGAGACCTGCTTAGCTGAAACTAATAATATGAACCTCACCAGGATCTCTATGGTAAAACACTGTGGAAATACAGAGCTGTGCTGTGAAAGAAAGCTCAGTTTGGGGTGCCCTGGTGGACTAGGGATTTAAGACACCGTCAATGAACGACATCAGCCAGCCAGGGGTGTCGTTCTCCATCTGTTTCTTTGCCCTCGTTTCCTGTCAACTCCCATAGAAATACCAAAGAGTTACATTTGTTAGACACACTTGTAATGCATAAAATAAATGGATGGTTATAGAATCTGCTGCGTTTTGGTTTGGTCCTCGTGAGGGGACATTTTTTGTCAATTCAGTCATGTTTTGATTTGTGTCACTAAATTAAATCAACAGTCTTTAATAGACTCAGAAAATGACTGAATTTAATGTACTGCAGGTTATGGTTTTAGAGTAGGTGTCTCATATGATTGTGTTATACTTCCCTGTTAAAACTGGCATAATTTGTAATTCACAGCCAGGAGGAGGCTGTGCGGAGGGGTGTGTATTCTCCACAGGATCTCTACACCTTCCCAGCCACACGGGTGGGTGAGTCCAGCACTCTGAAGGTCAACATCCGCAACAACTCGTCCGACACGCATGAGGTGAGGCATGCGTTATCCACATGAAGACATAGGAGGGATTTTGTTTGTTTTTTCTCGCTTACTGCAGCAGAAACTGAAATCCAGAATTCTTAATATGCAGCAGTGTCTATTCCAGCTATCAGAGTTAAAGCAAGAAAGTTCTATATTGTTAATAGAAATTGCATGACTGACTTGATTTCATTTGTACTGTATATAAATGGTATAACAACCCCTAACAATTGTCACTGTGCTTTGCATGGATTTGATATTTGATGTGTGGCTTCTCTAATTGACTTGCAGCTGAAATTTGTAAACCCTAGGGAGCCCTTCCACATCAAGCATTCCAAATATTCCCTGAGGTGAGTCCAATGGTTATTATCCCTGACAGAAACTCTCCTTTCTGCACTTTTAATAGTAGCTGGGGGACACACTGGGAATCGGAGGTTTATAATCTTTATAATTAGTGCCGGCCTCTATTAGTGTTTACTTGTTACTTCAGGGTTTTCATTTTCTACTGTAAGAAATGGTTTTACATAGATTTCTGTCATTAAAGTAGTAAGGTTTTAATGTTTAGTCAGGACCTCAAAGCATGCTCTATGATAACTGTAATGTCATTTTCCCATTGCGCATGCTCACTATGGGAGGTCCCGTGAGATGCTGGGACCTGGAGGATGATGTTACTATGTGGTACACACTTGAGGTCTCAAGGATTACTGATGTTTTGCCCAACTAAAGCCTTAGGGAGGAGGTTGCCAGGTCACAGGTACCAGCTGTGCTGTGCTCTGCTGATCTGGGACAGTGTTCAGAAGGGTCACAACATGTGTTTTGTATCATTGAAATAGGGTAAACAATGGAACGGAATGCAAATCCAAATTTAAATGCATTTACTTCCTCTACTAAACTAAAGCATTGTCAGACATACTGCTGAATGTCGTGACATTTTTATCTGCAACGTTGCCATGTGTTGCCACAACCTGAACCTGACCCAGCCCTCCAGTAGGTGTGTTGTGAGCCCTACAGTGTGTGTGGGTTTGTGGTAGCCTTGTGGTGACCCCAGCATGTTGTTGGCTCTCATCATGTACTCTCATTTCCACCACATCCACACTGAACATACCTGTGCTGCTCCATTTATTGTCTGTTCATTATGCTGGAACATTTGTGCACATGGATAAGCATTGATGATCCGTACAGTATTTTATGGTTATTGTTTTTGCCGTAGTGTAGTAGGTCATGATTCATATTATGCAATCCTATGTTCTTCATTTTATGTGAACATTTGTGCATATTTGTGCTGGTGCATGTGTTATGTATTCATGCTCTAACATTTCATATGAAATAATTATTGATCTCTTTATTAACTGTCTATAAACAGTAATTTTTCTTCCCCACCCATTAGATCCCAGCACTATCTGAAGCTTCCCGTCCAGTTCAAGCCCAGCACTGCAGGCAGACACGCTGGCTTGCTGCTCATCCAGTTAGAAACAAGTGGAAGTCTTGTTATTCAGCTGACCGCTGAGGCATTGCCTTGAATTCACCATCTAGCATCCTACGCCACCTTCTCACGCTGGCTGGCTGGCTTTGGGTGGATGCTCTTCTCTGTACTATTCATCATGGGACAGACGAGAGTTAACAGAGAAGAAAAGGCAAGACTGCAAACTGCTAAGGATCAAATAAAAGGCAACCCTGGGCTTAAATCCGTCCTCTCGTCTTATTTGGAGACTATAGCTGATTAACTGGAGATGACTGAGACTCTACTGCCAACACAGCCCCTTCTGCCTCTGGATGTGGCACAGGTGTCCTCAGCTGGCCCATGAAAAATGATTGTGCCTGTTTGTGCCCGAAGCTGAATGATTTGGTCTGACTGGCTCGCAATTAATCTGGCCCACTCTGGCATTTCAGAGAGCTAATGATTTTTGTCACTTGACTCTGGATCTGGTATTTGCCTTATCCCTGAGTCATGTCACAAGGCAGCATTGTTGTTGCCATGGCCCCTGTCAGACAGTACCAGTTGGGATACGTTGAGGATTACTTTGAGTCGGTCACACAGGAATGCCATTGTCTCTTGTTTGGTAACATGGCTGCAGGGAATTTCTTTTTTCTTTTTTTTTTTTCTTCTTTTTTTTTGTTGAATAGACAAACTGTAAAAATCACAAAATGGTCCTGGACATAGTTTTTCTTTTTTCTTTTTTTTTAAGACCAAGACCACAAGATTTGAGAATTTTTGGTTTTTTTTAAATCACAAACTCAGATTCTCAAATCAAGGTCTGTCCACATTTCATAAAATGTTCCTAATCTTTTGTACTGGTGTGGTTTCTATGGAAATGGCTCCTCATCATGCAGAGCCCAGCTGCACAGTGGCCTTTGTCAGCACCATGTGTTGACTTCCCAGCAACCTCCAAGACTCGTTCCAAACAGTCCAGATGTACTTAATTTAGTCATGATCAGGGCAGCTCACAGATACATTAGGATGGTTAATGATTGTTATTACATGCTAAAAGAGTTTCCTCTGGTGGGGTTTTTGTTCGGCAGCTTGCCAGGCCTGCTCAGTATGGTTACCATGGCAAAACAGTGTTAATCACTGTTCCAGTCACAGAAAATTAGCTCCCCATTTCCTCTTTTGGCTCTGGGGCAAATGGCCAAAATTGCTTGGGGGTATTGGATTCACATCCATAATGGGTTTTGGAACTGGAATGGCATGGGGAAATGTAGGTACACTTCATCAATGGTGTGTTGTTAAGCTGTTAGATGCCACGCATTGGTACAACACTTTGGAAATGAAAAACACTAGTTTTGAGCATTATGTTCCTGCTTGTAGAGCAAGTTTTAATATGAAGGCATATTGTCACAGGCTGCTCTCAACATGCCCTGAGAGCTATCCTGACGTTTGGTTTACAATTTGCACATGCTTAAAAAAGTATATAATGTAATATATTGTTCTATGTACACATTTTAAATAAAGTTTTGTGATAAATACTCTTTCCACTTTCTTTAATCACTTGAAATTGCTGTCAGAGGAGAAGTTAAATGATTTCTGAAAAAAATGGTACTCTTTATGTTTATGTCTCTATGTTTAGGGCCTTAGTATTACTTAATTCTGTTCATATTCACCTAACTAGGATCACTAAAGGGAATGTAGCTGTTCACCAATAGATTATGTATTTTGTTATTTTTCCATTCATTTAAATAAGAATTCTAATTAAGAACAGTTTACTCTGTGGCACAGATACTATAAACTATAAAAGCAACAAGTAAACATTTAGACAAGCATTTAAACTTACAGAACTGTAAATCGAATGATACAGCAGGGCATCAAAGTAGTATGAAATACAGTGCTGGTGGCATGCATGATAGCCTGCAGCATACATTTACTGACAATAACATCGAGGTAGAATAACCATACTGTCTCATGATGTCCATCCAGCTTCAAAACATGACTGCAGTTTAGATGGCACAGCAGGTACACACTGTGTTCAATTTGTTCCATCCTAGACACAATCAGGTTTATTGCCAGGAAGGTTTTCACATACAAGGAGTTTGCCTTGGTCTGTTGGAGCACAATATAATAGGAAAATGGAAAAATGGAAGCAAGCTCTGCAAGTCCAGAAGCATAAATACAAGAATAGGAAATTGACATGAACAAATATATAGACAATATTTACAATATGACAGTGGATTTAAATAGTAGGTTTGTAAACAATAATAAAGAATATTTGCAATGTGCAAGATCACTTTACTACCTAAATTCGATGTAATGTGTAGAAGGTGGGGTGGGGGTACAGGGCCTTGTTGATCAGGCCAGCAGCAGATGGGAAGAAACTTCTGGTGGCTTGAGGTTTTGGTCCTGATGGACAGCAGCCTCCTGCCAGATGGAAGTGTCTCATGAAGTTGGGAGGGGTCAGCCAAAATCTTACAATAACATTTTGGCTTCACGTCACATTTCAGATATAACTTGTACTTCAATTGTTTTATATTCTTTTCATATTTTGTTTTATTTCACTTATGTTTGACTACTCCTTGAAATCCTTGTTGTATTTAAGGTTCTGTATGCTATAGAAATACAGTTTACTTGCTTCTAATAACATCTGCCCTGCTGAAGTACCTTTGAGCAAACAAGAGAACCCCCATTTTGAAATGTCCTTAAGCAGGTCACTGATCAGCTCCCAGCACTGGGGATGCTGCTGCACATGTGATCCTGACCTGTGACCCCAGACACAGAGGGATCACACTTTGAGCCCCGCTGGCTGCTATACTCAGAGGAACCTGCAGGTGTCGTCAAAGCTTCATCGGCAGCCCGGCTGTCAGCAGCATGTACTGTACAGTGGGGCAGCTGGGCTTTATTTTGCTTCCCAGACTGGAAACCACTGTAGTGCAGTTGGACTTGACGTCTAGCAACACAACATCACAGACTTTAAACAGGCAGACACGGCGACTTAGCACGTTAGCGACTGCATTTACAGGTAGGAAGCCTGCGACATTTTCCCAGTTATTTCTGTACACTGGTGTATTTATTAATGCATAATGCTGTGGTCGTAGGCGGCTGGAGGAATGTTGTGGTTATGCTAACTGCTGTGGCTAAACGCTATCCCGGCTGTCCGGTGTGGGGTCTGACTTTGGGCCAGACGGTGGAAGTTGCTCTTTAGAGTTGGAGCCGCTTTCCGAGCTGCGCCAGACAGCAGAGCTAAGCTAACACGGCTAAGATAGCAGCAAGCAGGCTAGCCCTGGCTCCTATCCATCCGCCGGGGCCACAGCACCAGTCCGCTGTGTCTCCGTCCCTGTGGGGGAGACGCTGCCTCTCACACTGACCGTGACCTCCGTGGTACCTATAACATGTATCACCCCGAGGAGAGACAGGCTGTCTTGTTTTTCTCTCTGTCCGGTGTGTCTTTCGCCTGTTTGATTTGATGAACAAGCTAGCTGGGAAGCTAGATTAGAAATGTAGAACCCCGAGCTGTCACTCAGGTTTCAGGTCAGAGGTTAACCCAACTTTTTTATGCAAGTGAGGCACGCGGTGCGTACCATGAGGTGGTGTCACCAAGCAGCCTCCTCTGGGATGAGCTGGTACACACTGTGTGTCACTGTGGGGTGGGGTGAGGAGGACCACAGTGGGACTCTTCATCCACACACATCCTCTCACCGTGCTCGGTTAAAAAGGGATCCTTATTTTGGAAATGCCATAAAGCTCCACACCTCCCACACTGCACAGGGTTGAAGAAAACATGGAGGGAGATCCTCTTCATCATTTAAGACTGAGATGATGATGATGATGATGATGATGAGAGTTAAACTAATGCATCTGACACTTCTATCAAAGTTCATCTGGGCTGCTGTGTCTTATCTAAATCATATCCACATTAGTTACATCCCCTTCATATCTATGTAATTCTCCTTTTGTTGCAGAGATTTGCTAATCCAGACATTCTCTGGATACATTTACAGTTTACTGATGCCAGTGTGCAGACCCATGAAGCAAAGTTTCAAACTGACAGTGCTATAAAAGCATGGATCTATATGTGACACTGCACAGTACAGAGCCCTGGTCTCTCTGCTGTATACCAGCCCACTGATCGGGTTTACATTAATTCGATTTCCGAGCTCTGTTCTCTGGTCCTCTGCGTGCGCTGCATGAAGGCTGGAGTTTTTATTCTGTTTGGGTCTGGTAGAGAGAATTCAAGCAGGCTTTGGGTGTGTTTTATTCCTTGCCTGGCTGGATGTTGTCCTGAAGGTTTCAGTCAGGGACCTATAGATGAGGAAGAGTTCTCCAAGCTTTGAATCATTTAGCACTGTTTGCCATTTCTGTCTGCTCTGCCTTCTCTCTGTCTCTATCCTCTCTGTTCACCTGCCTGTGACCCCCCCCCTCCTTTTCAAGCTCTGTTTTGCATCTCTCCTCCCTTTCTGTCTCATCTACACACACACTTTCTCTCATGTGCTTCACGCAAACTTTAATCCTGTGCTTTGTGGAGTTTGGATGCTTGTGGCAGAGCCATTGTCTCTCATCTGTTTCTTCTGTTGAGCTGCTGCTGTACTGGTGAGGTGTGCAGGTAAAGCTTGTTAAATTGGGTTCAGTAAAAGGACACTTGTGGATAATGATGATGATAATGGTGCATGTGCATGTTGAAGTATGGAAACAGGTAAATACTGCCAACAAGTCATACTGTTTAAGAATTAGAGGAATTAAAATATTAAGGGATAATGCTGGTGTTAGCTTTAAGTGCCAGTCATCTATATGTTGACCTTTTAATGCACATTGTTTCTGGTCTTTGGACAGTCTACATGCTGCAATTTATTTTTAAAAAACATTAGACTTATCATCTTGATAATTCATTATAGTAAAATCTAATCTTTATTTTATTAGAATGGAACAGAGAATGGTTTCTAATTGTTTCTTTATGCTGAATTGCAAATAATTCAGTTAACACAATGTTAATAAGTTGTTAACAAACTTGGTTTCTTACATTTTTAGCGATAGTATTAAATATTCATGACTAACGACGAGTTAAATGTTGCCAAACTCTGATTGGTGCAAGGACGTATGTGATATATGTGAATATTTAAATCGGAAAAAAAGGTTTTATTCATAAACCTCATCGCTCATAGTTTGCTAACTTGTCTTCATTGTCTTTACGGCGTGTCAGTCGCACAACAAACACAATCTAATGTCATATTTGTGCGCATTTACGTTAAAGCCGCTATAAAAGAATACATTAGTGTAGTTAAAAATGAGCTATTGAGACCATAACTTCGGTAATGTTTGGTGAGCAGGTCCCCGTTTTGCGATAAACATTCCTGCCACCAGTTTCATGCTGTTCCACTGATTGACAGTGGGTGGCAGTAATGTGCCAGGTAAGGAAGGGAAGGAGAAGAGCAGAAGCTAGTAAACACTGATGAAAGGATTTACAGTATTCAAAACATTGCAGATGTTTTATGAGGAAGAAAATTGTACTCAACATGTTTGTTAGGCCTCAAGGACCCACACAATGTGATTTGGTACCAGCAAATGTAAACATAACTTTGTTTACAAAAAAAAACAAAAAAAAAACTCCGCAGGGTATAGAAAGAAGTTGAGGTGTGGTTTATTGTATTTATTGTCGTTTATGTGGTTTATATGAGATCCGTGTCGGAGCATGCTCAGAGATTACAGTTGGCACTCGCTTGTCTCACAGACTTTATTGTTACATCTATGTCTACTGGGGTTGAAAAATCACATATTAATAGATCTTCAATGCAATGAATGGTAGCACACTGTTATGTGTTACATCATACAGAACTTAGGATTTCGTGAAATACTACTAATAAATACTAGTCATATTAGGTCTGTGCAATATGACCAAAATCTTATCTTGTTGTTTTTTATCGCGATACACGATAATATCGGGTATCATCCTATCCTTAGCTGTAAAGAGCGTGATTTGCAACACAACAGAATAGACAATAGAGAATAATATGAAACTATTGACATTTTTCTATCGTCATACAGCCCTAGTTCATGTCATCATGATCCTGCAGAAAGACAGTTAATAATAATACAGAATTTATGCCCCGCCTAAAGCAGGAAAACAGCACAGGACCTTAAATAACAACAGCATATAATTCTAAACAGTATTTATGTTTTAAATAATATAAACCAACTTTTAAATTAAATTAAAGGTCCAGTGTGTAACATTTAGGAGGACAGAAATTCAGAAATGGAATCCAATATTCATAGGTATGAATGAACTATAAACACTTTATTAGTGTATAATCACCTGAAAATAAGAATCTTTGTGTTTCTGTTATCTACAGAGGGAGCGGGTCCTCTTCTACAGAGTCCGCCATGTTGAAACACCATGTTTCTACAGTAGCCCAGAGCAGACAAACCAAACACTGGCTCACATTTTTAAAGAGTTTAGTTTCTCCTGCACACTTGAAAGGTTGAGCAGTCTGAAGCTTCACTGCTACATGCAACTAAACCCTACACACTGATCCTTTAAAAGCAAAATCAATGTATGCAGTAAACACTAGTAAACAGAGGACATAGTCTGCTCTAGTGCTGTGCATCCATAGAGCAGATTCCACGGGCATCATCATCAACGGCAGTCTCTTGTTTAATTCAACCTTTATTTAAACCAAAGAACACACAGAGGGCGAGCTTTCTCTTTTTAAGGTCAGCTCTGTGCTCAAGCTAAATTGCAAATGTATAGTCTATTAATATATGAGTGAATAAAAAGCATCAAGCCATAAAATAATAACTAAGTGAGAAAGTTGAGGAGAAAGTCAGCGAGCAGACTGTGTGTATTATTAGCTACAGTAATGTGTTCCCGTCTACCAGGTTGTACTGTGTGTCTGCTTCACACAGCTCACTGTACAACTGCTTCTCAGAGCCAGACGTCTGTGTCCATCTGTCTGTTTGTGTTTCTGTACTCCTCTTGTTCTAGTGTGCATGTGCGTATGCGCGTGAGACCGTAACTGACCGTCAGTCCATGTGTATGTACTGCGAGCGCGCGTGTGTGTGTGTGTGTGTGTGTGTTTCACCCTTTGCCAATTAGCGGCTTCTCACCTCCCGAGGCGAGAGGCTGAGTGTGTGTTAGACAGAGGAGGGAGACTTGACGGGGCTTGTCTGCCGCTGACGGCTCAGCCTCAACCTGAACTCTCACGCAGCTCTCTCTCTCTCTCTCACACACACACACACACACACACACACACACACACACACTTCAATCTGAGCACTGAACTCCAGCTCTGACACACACACACACATGCAGGACCTGAGCTGCAGCCAGTTGTTGATAATACAGCCTTGTCTGTCTCCGAGCCCATGTGACACGCCAAAATGTGACAGTATTGTGTTGGTGGAGCGAAGGCGCGAGACGGGCAAAGACGAGTGCCAGCCCGCACCAGAGTGTGTGTGTCTTTGTCTGGGTTGTGCTCATGGGAGTGTGTCTTTGTATGAACAAATGCACTGTCTATTATTGTGTGGCTGCAGTAATTGGTGTGTATGTGACTTTACAGAGTGAAAATAATGTAAAAAGCGTGCTATGTGGAAGCATAACAGTCTGAGGAGCTGGAGCGGTAGCCTGGTGTGTACAGAAGAAACACAATACGTCTCATTCAGAGTTTGTACAACTTTTTCTCCTTGGAACTGTTTTCTTTATGTAATCATCCAAAATTGATTTTTCATGCTGCTGTATAATTAATCAAGAAAAGTTCATTATATTTATGCTACAAGCTCAGTTTTCTGGGTCTAATCTTCTCTACAACAACTTGAGGAGGTTTTGGAAAAACAGCTTGATACAACAGTTTCTTTTAAGTAATTTGGCAACACATAAAAAAAAAATAATAATCTATGTTTGAGATGCAGCACATCCTTTGAAAAAGCACTACAAGTAAGATTTTCACATTCTGGCCCGAGAAAGGAAAACATTTTTAACATTTCTATTCCAATTTCAGTATTTTTAACATTTCCTCTTGGCCAGAACCAATC